TGCCGCAACAGAAACGGGATTCAGAGAGTGCCATTGCCACAGCTACCGTTGGGGTACGAATACAGTGTGAGTGTATCCGTACACCATCCACATGGAGGTAAAGTTGTAAGGGTGTGCTGTCGAGTTCGCTTTTGTCTGACGATGCGCCGCTGGCTGGCCTGACATCTGCAGACCGCAGACCGCATTTTGGGTTTGCCGACCAACTGACCTCATTGTCGCATGGGATATTGTCTTTTTTTTTTCTTTTTTCTTGAGCCACCATCAGGTCTTCACTTCAATGACTGGAATGTGTAGACTGCTAGACCAGACCTGAGACTTTGTTGTCAGATTGCGCCCAGACCGCCTGTAAGAAAAGTGAGGATGACCGTTTCGCTGATCGTCTAAATCCTGCAACTGTACTTAGACCGCTGCTGCACATGTCGCTATTCTTCCAGCGAACAGCTGATCCAATGGCCACTTCCCGGTTGTATTCGTACTGTGGTGCACCCGTGCCGTTGCCAGTGAGAGACCCTAGCCTGTGATCTGGGACACACAGGGGGCAAGCCTGGGAGAGACTCGAGGGGAACAGAACCTGGAAGATCAGGGCCAAAGTTGGGGAAGCACGTGTCAGAGTTGTTGGGGCCGTCATCACATGCATCTGGCTAGGCTTGACGGGATGAACAAGCAACTTAGCATGTGCAGAGTGGGTTCTGTTAGACTTTGTGCCGTGTTTACACTGTCGATACTGACAATTTGGACTGCCGGGTGTGTCACAAGGCATCAACGGGCGGTGGCCGGGTCGCCCAGCCGGCATTCGGCCCCAGGCACAAACGAGCCTTCCTCGTTGTTTGATTGGCCTATCGCTCCCTCCCTGCTACGTCACCCTAGGCACGGACTCACACTTTCCATGTGAAAGCGAAAAAATCTGGATAGAGGGGAGGAACCCACGGCTCAAGAGCCTTCCGCAAGTCGAGGATTCCCAGCCCACACTTGAGACGCGTTTCCGGTCACCTGTCTCTCCAAAAAAGGCAACCACGCAAGTTACAACTTCCCGGGGCAAGCCCCAACACGGGCTTCAAGTTTGGTCCTTCCCTGGGCTGCGTGCTTGTAGTCAGCCAGTGCCTGCCCCAAAAAGAATTTCTCAACACGGGCCCGAGCCTCTCAATAATCATCCCACGGCTACCGTTGAAATGACCCATAATCACGTGCGATTTGCTGCAACTCTGCTCACTCTGAAGACTTGGAGGGGAATTGGTGGGACTTTGCAGAATGGGTTGCCGGATGACCATGGCAATTTTCTCGAGCTCCGCCTAAGGGTCCAGTTGTTCCCGCTGACGTTCTTCTCTGTGACGCCTTTTTCATGGATCTACCATGCCGATTTTTTATTTCTCTCCATCATCCGAGACTCCGCCGTTGCCGTCTATCTGTACGGATACCCCAACACCACATGCACCTAGTTTAAGGTATTACACCACCAAACCCGACGTCAGATGTGAAGCCGCTATGGTAGTCTCTCCGATTTGCTTTGCAAGATTAACAGCCGACAACCTATCTTTGGAGATTGGATTTCAAAGTCCAATCTACACGAATCTTGCGAAACCGACGCCCAATCATGCACTTGAAGCACCAACGCAACCTCCCACCATCATCCACCGGCCTTATCAATAATCACCATCGACATCGGGGTGCCAAGTTGCGCTGATTCCCAAACTGAAACCGCGCATCTTGTTTGAACCTGATTCCAACTTCCAAGTTCCAAGGGCTTCTTTCCAGCTGCTTGCTCCCCACCGGCTTACTTGCCTGTCCGCCCTGCATCGCACGACTCAGTCCTATCTGCTACCCGCCCATCCTGACTAGTTATCTGCCACAAATGGTGGCCATGTGATGGCATCTCAGACCCGAGCAGGTGGATCGACCGCGTTTCCACGGCCCTCGTAGCACGAGCTCAGACTCAGAGCAGCCAGCTGGCATCGTCGAGAACTAATCAAGCCTTTCTCGTACCTTTTGGCCTTTACCCAACAGCAAACTTCTTGCAACCCCCCGAAAGCCGAGAGAGACACTGACCATCTTGGCTCGGGAGGCGTTTGTCTTTCTTGACTGGGGTCTACCTAGATCTGACAACGGGCCGGCCGGTCGTGCATCGCAACCTTTTCCTTGCCGTAGAGGCTGTCAGGACATTGCATGAGGCTTCCTAACTCAAAAAGGACCCTTAGCTTCAAACAAGCGTACGAGCACCTGTCAAGAATTTGTTGGCCTTCGAAGCAGGAGCCTCGGCGACTGCTTCTGTCCCGAACACAGAATACGTTCCATGCATGGAAGCTTGCTCGTGACAGTGTTTCCCCGGATTGTGGATTGCTCACAAATCTCTGCCAACATCTACCCAGCCGACTAGATATCTTACGTCGGTTGACCAAATGCTTATCCCATCCGGCAAGTCACGGCAAAAAGAAGACATCAATTTGAAAGTATGTGTGGCACCTCTGACGCCGCCCTGGCAACTGTACTCTTCACTCGAAAGCGAAGAGAAATGCATGGGCAGCTCTTATGGAACCGGAAGGTTTCCTCTGCGCGTCACGAAATCGCAATTCACATCAACGACGACACGTATGAGCCCAGCAGAATGCCAGTCCAAATGTGGTTGTAATAATGCGCTGCACTGTCTAAAAGGACGCGGTGGTGAGGAAAAGAAGAGAAGAAAGCAACATCGTGAAAATTTTGGCGGGATGTAAGCAAACGGGAGACCCACTCATGGAAGTGCAGGTCATGTGACTTACCTCTGACAGAGCACCTCACGAACAGTGGGCCGGCCGTCTGACTGTTCTCTGGAGGAGATATTACATAAGCTCACTGATCGCATCTGCCACAGCCTCAGCCGCATGTGGCTGGCTGCATGACAGCTTGCTTTCCCAAGACGTGAGGCTGTCATTGTGCTGGTCCGTGCCCTGCCGACTCCAAGGAGACATCGTGGTTTCAATATCGTCAGCTATCTGTCAACGCGGTTCATCACCTGCACGACCCGCGAATAATGACAGCTTTCACCTCCAACATTTGATCATTTGATACCACTGCGAGCTGCCCGGTTGGAAAAACTGCATGATACGATCTTCATCACTGCCATAATTTCTCTGGCCAGCGTGCCAATTGACTCCCACCGCCTCTGCGTCTGCCCCTCGATCCCCGCCTTGGCAACCACTTCATCATGGCTTCCGCCGTGTTTTTCCTCGACTTGAAGGGCAAGGTGCGCATCGCGAAGCTGATCTAATCACTAAGACACTCGAGAATGCTGATGATGGCTTGCGACAGACCCTTCTTGCCCGAAACTACCGCGGTGACATTCCCATGTCAGCTGTCGAGAAGTTCCCCGTCCTACTCAGCGAAGCAGAAGAAGAATCATCTGCTGTCCCTCCATGCTTCTCGCACGAGGGTATCAACGTACGTGCCGAGTTCCGGTCTTCTGCGCCAGCACCGCGCATGGCATCTTGACTGACGAGATGCGACCCCAGTACCTTTACATCCGACACAACAACCTATACCTTCTTGCCCTGACGAAACGAAACACCAATGCCGCCGAGATCCTCCTATTCCTTCACAAGATTGTCGAAGTCTTCACCGAATACTTCAAGGCTCTTGAGGAAGAGTCCATCCGCGACAACTTTGTCATCATCTACGAGCTCCTCGACGAGATGATGGACTTTGGCTACCCTCAGACTACCGAGTCCAAGATCCTCCAGGAGTACATCACCCAAGAATCCCACAAGCTCGAGATACAGGCACGCCCGCCCATCGCCGTCACAAACGCCGTCTCATGGCGTTCCGAGGGTATCCGTTACCGCAAGAACGAGGTCTTCCTCGACGTCGTCGAGAGTCTCAACCTCCTCGTCAGCGCCAACGGTAATGTCCTGCGCAGCGAGATCCTCGGCGCCATCAAGATGAAGTGCTACCTCAGCGGTATGCCCGAGCTCCGCCTAGGCCTGAACGACAAGGTCATGTTTGAGACAACAGGCCGGACGACACGCGGCAAGGCCATTGAGATGGAGGATGTCAAATTCCACCAGTGCGTGCGGCTGTCACGCTTCGAGAACGACAGGACCATTTCCTTCATTCCCCCGGATGGCGAGTTCGAGCTCATGAGCTACCGCCTCAACACCCAGGTCAAGCCCTTGATTTGGGTCGAATGTGTTGTCGAGAGCCACAGCGGATCACGAGTCGAATACATGCTTAAAGCCAGATCGCAATTCAAGCGGAGGAGTACAGCCAACAACGTCGAAATTATCGTTCCGGTCCCCGACGACGCCGACACCCCGCGCTTCCGCACCAACATCGGCGCCGTCCACTACGCCCCTGAGCAAAGCGCCATCGTGTGGAAGATTAAGCAGTTTGGAGGCAACAAGGAGTTCTTGATGAGAGCGGAGCTGGGACTGCCTTCTGTACGGGGCGACGACGAGCACGGCGGTGGTATGACTGGTGGCTTCGGTGGTAGTATGGGTGGTGTTGGCGCGCCTGGCAAGGGCGCCAAGAGGCCAATTCAGGTCAAGTTTGAGATCCCCTATTTCACGACGAGTGGTATCCAAGTGCGGTACCTAAAGATTACAGAGCCAAAGGTAAGTGGCCCCCCCCTCAAGAAGGTTCATGAGACGTCATTTGCTAACTTGTCGCAGCTGCAATATCCCTCGTTGCCTTGGGTCAGATACATCACCCAGTCAGGAGACATAGCTGTGAGGCTGCCTGATGCAGTATGAGGCGGGCAGGTATCGGTTTAGTTGTAACGCAATATGAGCTCGAAGGGAGTCTATTTTCCATCGACGCACTACTATTTTATTGAGCGAAAAGTGAATTGAGGTTACACAAAACACACATCGGCTGGTGGTGGGCATGTTAGGCCATAGACACATCCAGACAGGGGCAAGGTAGATGCGTCAATGCTTCGGGGGCTCTCAAGAGCCGTTGGATGAGTACTTACTGGGCCAAGTAGACAAGCTACGTTCACGAGCACAAGAAGGAGGAAGCTTTCAATGATGATGCAAAATTCAACATGTCAAAATTGTGTGCGCCCTAGGAAAGATGTCCTGCGTGTGACTGCCCCTAGAAGAGCTTCATTCTCCATCTCTGACCCCAAGGTTATTCGTTAATCATGAGCATCCTAAACTTCCTTCCCCTTACGCTGAGAGCACTACACTGGATGATTGAAATATTCGTTACTGCTAGTTTAAATGGGTATATATGTTGTTAAGACGTTGCCAAGATAGAAAGAGAGGACTCGATGCGGCATTGTGCCACGGCTTCAAAGAAGAGGGGACTAGCGCTCAGCCGGGAATGACGTAGCCTCGTGCCTCGAAATCCGCGATGATTTCAGGGGTCGAATCGGCATTATAGCTATCGCAGCAGATCTGCACCATCACACCACGCGGAGAGCCGGTGGGGTCGGGGTCTACCATTGTCAGCACGTACTTTGAACTTTATACCGCTTCACGGGACAAGGCTTTTACTGACCTGCCTGAGAAGATCGCCGGTCGCTGAAACCGGAACCATTCCTGTTCCACAAGCCATGCTGGAAAACGTCGTCTGTATGATCCGGCTTCTTCATCAGAGCCAAGAGGGCAAGGATGATGGGTAAGTCACCACCCAGGCCTATGGACCGTGGAGCTGAGGGATCTGGCGTGGCGAACGTGTGTGGTAGGAGATGAGGCAACCAAGCTGGATCGCGTCCAGAAACATGTCGTTGGGGTCCCCCGGGATAGACGATCCGCGTCAATCCAGGGTTCTGTTCGTCAGGTTGTGAGAACGCAAGGCTGTGCCACCCACCAAAAGGTGTGCCATCGACAGTAGAGACGTCGACATCGGTACATAGGCATGGGAGGAAGCGCCAGCAGTTGAAGACGCTGTAAGTCTTGTATTCCCGCAACTCTTCAGTCTGGTAGTTTTTCGCCGGGATTGGACCATAGATCTTCCCAGGGAGTCCCATCCGTTCGCGATACCACTCGAACTGACTTCCAGCGGGAGTGATGACGCCGTTCGCAAATCGCCACACCTGGCCAATTTTCTTCATGCCATAGCTATCAGCAGATTCGGGTGGGAGCCAGTTGCCGTACCGGTCAACAACTGGTTCGATATTGTGGCCCTCGTCGTCAACTTCGTGTATCAGGAACTCGTTGACAATAAAAAGAAAGCTGAAGTATGATAAGGGCACTTCCTGCTTGCGACTGGGTTCTCTTGACTTGTGCTCTCTGTCCTTCTTTTCTCCCTTCCTCCCATGTTTGTGACTTCCACTCCGCTATCTTTGTCAGCCATTCTAATGTTCCGAGGAAGGGAAGGCGTGGAGTCATACGCTCGAGTGAGATGTCATCTCCTTTTTCTGAATAGTTCCGGCAGGCAGCGGCTCAGAATGCTAGCGCTGGGGGCTAGACACGAAGTTGACGAAGTCTGCTGTCCTAGCTAGAAGACAGTCGCTACTGTCGAGTAAGATTTGAGTGATCTCGTCAGAAATGACAGAGATGATGGATTACCGGGTAATATGCAACCATTGTATCTTGGGACCTGAAGATGTCGTCGACTCTGCCCGAGATGGTGGTCTGATGTTCTTGAACCTGTGGTGCGTCAAGGATGCAACCCTTAACCATACTTGCAGCCCTGGGCATCCTCTGGGTACCGAGTCTGATTGGGGCAGCATCTTCTCGAAGATCATTAGAGCCCAATCCAAAGTTGTCGACGCCTTGTAGACGGCAATGAACACGCGTGAGACAGAAACACAGAGGTCTGATCTACCTCGAATTTCCTGATCGCGACGGAGGCGTAGGTCCCGTGGTCACATGTCGTTTGGCCTGCACTCGGCCACGTTGCGCCGGTGAAGAATGACTGCATGGCGCACTTCAGAGACAGAACTATGCGATTCCAAGATGAAGAGACATGGGAATCTCGAGAATGCGGGTTTCGTTGTTCCCTCGGCTCTGTCTGCCTTTGAGCCGCCGCAACCCAACGAATAGAACTTGGCTGTCCTTTGTGCCGCCAGTTGCTCATTGGGGCACGTCTGTTCTGGAGTGGCACAAGGGCTTGCTTGCTGTCGGGTTAGGTCTAAGACGCCCAAGTCTTCCTGCGACTCCGAGTGTGGGCGTTGCCATTGTCGAACGTGATTGCAGGAGATGTTGAGTTATCCTGGCTTCGACGCCAGACCAAGCCTGCAAGGTTGTCACCCATGAGGTGAAATTTGGATGACTTGCATGATGCTAAACCAATCAGGTCCATGTGCTGATTGGAACGCTTGAATATGAAGCCAATGAGGTTCTCGATGGTTTAATTCCTTTGGCCCAGTTTCGGGAGCTCAGGTTCAGTCGTTGATGCTGGACAGGGTCGGCCAGAGACCGACTTGAGGTGGGTGCCGTGACGAATTGTGGCTGTCGATTCGACGGCCGTATTGATAGACAGCTTTCAGGTCTATCATGGATCCCTGGTCGAAGAAAACAAAACACCTACTCCTCCGGCTATGACCTGGCCATAGTCTAGGTGCCATTTTCCGCCATCACTGCAAGGGAGAGCAGCGTTATTCGTTTAGATGTCCATCAGATCATGATGCCCAACAGACCTCGGTTGCTTATAACACCGAATGGAATCTCGGAAAGCTTGGTCGGTTAAACTTTCCATTTGATATCAAGGCTTGACGTGGCATCTCTGCGAAAGTGCCGAAGATGCAAAGTGGGCAAGATTGATGCGCGGGGGTAGCGTAAAGTAGCGGTGGGCAAGATTGGGTATCAAGCGGTGCCATACGACCTTGAATTCGCGCCAAGATGCCAGCTGGTTTTCGTCTATCTTACAGTTGAAGATGGGGGTTGGGAGAACTTGAAAAGCGAAATCAGAACCATGCTAGACGCTGCCCTTTCTAAGGTGCGTAATGAATTGGTTTTATGTTCTCCCGGTCCTCGATGAAAGCGGAATCCTCTCGGGCTTGACAATCTTTGCACTCGTTAGGGGACGAGATTGGAACAACATTGGCTGGGCGTGTCTGTGTGATTCCGGTGAGCCTTTCTCTCGTAGCACTTCGCTGAGAGAAAGAGGTGGCACGAAGCTATGAAGGCCTCACCCTTCAAGATCCACAAACGAATCTGAAGTGAGCGCCATCGGGTTTTGTTCCATGATCCTGTCGTATGGTCGTGTCTTCCTTGCATCAGTGCGCGGCAGGCTGGCTTGGATAGCTTACGATGTCCCGCCTCTCCGTGTTCCTTCGTCATCAACTGCAGTCGGTCGATATCGGGCACCCAGAAGGACCTATCGGGTGGAAACATCCCCCGTGGAGCTAAGGACCGGTCAGCTAAAGTGCGGGGGGCTCTTTTGGAGTGAAGCGGGCTGGTTTCTCTGGCCAACAGCAGAAAATGGCGTCCCAACGCTGTGTTGGGAGAGCCGCAGTTGGTGGGCATGTCTTTGGCTGTGGCGGCGTGGCCACGGCGTGGCCAATGACTGGATCGGCCGGGATTTCCGACCTATCCGACGGAATGGGCTCCTGATTGCGGCGTGGACCCAGGAAACGCTTTGCCAAGCAAGAATAAGAGGGAAAGGAGACAACAACTTGTGTTTTCGGAGGTAAATATCATGAAGCGGTGTAAGTGGGATGGCTTGTGTGACGTTGAATTTGGCATTTTACAGCGGGGCAACTCCGGACCAGGTGAGCGCGAGGCAACTGCATCCTTTTCCGCCAGAAGTTTATTCCCCCACTCGTTCTTTACGGAAAAAGACTAATGTCGCACCCTCTTGGAAGCTCTGTCCGTCTCTTCCTCGCCAGTAGCTTCCTCCACGGCACCACCGGTACCCACCACTTGAAGAGCCTCCTTCAGAAGGCGCTTCTCGCCAAGTCTTACCTCAACAGCCATCTTCTGACGAGATGTCAAGCTGCCCGACGCCAGCAGGGCCTCATCCTCCTCGGCTGTTGTCGGGTACTGCGCCAGAAGCTTTTGCAAGGTCAACACGACAACGTGCTGGTAGATCTCATCGCGTTTCCGCTTGTCGGGAATGAGATCAGCATTCATCTTCTTGAGAAGCTTCAAGATACCCTTCAACTGCTCCTCAAGCTCGGCAGAAACCTCCTGGACCTTGGCGGGAGTCGTGAGTCGGCCCTCCGAGTCTGGCTCTCCTGACTCACGCTCGAGGACAAAGACGTCCTCGAGATCTTCGGGGTCTATGTACTCTCCCTGTTCTCCCGTTAGATCGTTTGGCTTTTTCTCCTTGTTGAATATTTTCGGTACGTACCACTTGCTTCCAGACCTCATCAGTGAGCTTCAACTGTTCATTGAGCACAGATTGCACAAGATCCCAGGGAATCTCTACCACGTCGTAGCGGGAGTGCTTAGAAGTGACGTAGCCATATCTTCTGAGCAACTCAGAATTCGGGTGAGGGCCGTAGTAATTCAAGATCTCCTCTCCCGCCCGAATCGTTTGGAGCGCGGTGACGCTCAGGTCATCGTCGCCGTGATTGACGTGAGCCTTCCAATTCATTAGCAACGGTGTAATATCACCAAAAAAAAAAAATTTAATTTCAAGTTTACTCACATTGAACTCTGCATCGGCGTTCAGGATATCAGCCATGGGCACCATACCCAGCATCGACTTGCCCTCGCGGTCCTCAACCCACTCCTCTTGCTCTTCTTCCGGCTCCTCTTCGTTCTCCAGGTCAAAGGCGTAAGCCATGATGATGCTGCCCATGCGGTGAGCCAATTGCAGGAGCTCTGCTTCGACCAATTGAGAGGCACCTGCAGGGTAGAAGATGGCTGGGTTGGCTGCGATGACAGACAGAATTCGCGAACGGAACATATCATCGGCTTCGTCCTTTCCAATCTTTGACAAGACAGCGCTTCCCTTGAGATATTCGAGCTCAGAGGACTCCCAGAACATGAGTGTGTCAAACTTCTCGGGAAGGACCTCGAAGTAAGGCTTCCAGGGTGAAGCATCGCCCTGGAGGTACTCGTAGATCATCACTAGGATCAAAGAACCCCATGAGTCGAGGGGCTCATTCTCCATGTCTTCGTCGTCCCCGTCATTTCCTGTGAAGACTTGGGGAATCTTCTTTGGAAGCTCGGATGTCTCGACATTGATGATGCTTTTTCTAGGGATGGTGAAGAGTACTGTCTCAGGTGCGATGTCCTTTGTGGCCACTGGGAGTCTGTTAGTGAACAGCGTCATGTCAACAAGGTATAAATGACCTACCAATTCCTCGTCCGGCGTTCTGGCCCCTTAAGTCGACGATCTGAATGTCATCGTGGAAAGTGGCGCCCGGCAACGACTTGAACCACGACAAAAATCTTTGCGACGTCGTCTGGAAATCACCGCCTGCTGCCATGATGCCGACCGAAGATGGATTCCAGGTAGCGACACAAGTTCATGAAACCTGAAGTATATTGAGAGGTGAGTAAGCGAGATATTTCGTTGTTTGTTGTTGCAACGATTCTATTGGTCCTGGTAGGGCTCGTCGTCTGAGATTTGGGGACCAGAATTTTCACTACGATAGAAGTACTGTGCGCAGGATATTTCTTAGCCAGTCACACCGTGTTCTCCGGGCCCCACTTTCCTTGCATCTACCACGATGTTTTGAATAATACCATAGTACGGTTAAACTGCCAGTGACGTATGAGTAAGGTTAGTAGTTTACTTGTCTACTTATGATTATTGCAAACGTTTGCAAGAGATATCACGAAAAGAGGGTGGATGAATGATTCTGGGTGGCTCCTGAGAAATCATCAGGATAGGGCGTCTGGTCAATGGTGTCTAGCCGACGAGTAATGCTTAGTTACCACCCCCGGACAAATGAATAACAAGACATAGCCGTTACGAAGTCGGTTACCCTAAAGATGCCGTTTTTCACTTTCGGCTTCATGAAGAGTATAGATCTCCATTCACTACTTTACCCATCCGCTTTGAGAGGGTCAAAAGAAAATTCGAACGGAGAGCAACGTTTGGCGGCCACGGCCAACATTCGCACAAGAGACAGTGGTTCTAGACACTGAGCGCGGCGTTCAGCCTCCTGAATGTTTTTTAAAGGAAATTTCGAGAGCATCATTAAGGATGTTTGTGTCTAAAGTTGTGCTATGCTTAAATCTTAGTTGCAATTACAAAAGTTCAGGATGACGGTACGACCAGATTCAGGCGCCCGAACAGGGGGGCCTTGGACTACCTAAATGGGCGCATGTCAGCACTTGTTATGAGAGCTGCTTCATCTAGCCTAGTAAGACTCCGCACTGTTGTCCTCGTCCATTGGATGCCTGGGGAATTCCATGGAAAGTGATCTGAGTTGAAAGATTCCGAACAAAAGCTCTCCCTGCGCCGGCGGCAACATTGCCTTCGCTAGGAACCTACACGATTAACTAGCACCTCACACACCCACCACAAACAATATCATCCGATATTTCTAGACATCCGACTATGCGTCCTCCTCTGGCGCTGCCAAATTTTCTGTTGACCATTGGTTTCGACCAGCCGAGACCAGCCGCAACTCCGCCCCCGCTTCCGTCGGACGCTACGCCCTGGATACCCCGTGCGAAATGCCTCCATCCATCGAATGGGCGACGCCATAATCGCTCAAACTCATTGCGGGGATAAGGAAATCTTGCGCCCATGTTTTCTCGGCGCGCCTAAGAAACTTTTCGGATGACTACATCACTCAGTGCCTGTTAGATGATGGTTGTGGTAAGAGCCAGGCCAGCATGGAACACTTGTGGATAACCGTTGCCTGTCTTCGAACATTTGGGAACGATTGGATCAATCTCGAACACCCCTGATGATCATGAGGTAGAGTTGAAATTAGGCGATGGCGATTTGAAGCTGAAACGGGAAGAAATCCTTGCTGGTGATTATTCCCCTCTGTCAGAGCCTAGGTACCTTCGGCCACGGAAAGATGAAGCTGATACATTAGAAAGAACACCATAAATGAGTTTCCTCGGTCAAAGGCATTCGACATGAATATTTGTTGCCATATCGTATTGCACACGTCTCTTCTTCGGTTGCTGGGAAACATTATTCATAATCATGGAGGGGAGCTAGGCCTTTGAGTGGGCTGAAATGGAGCGTTGTTGATGCACAAACAATTAGTTCTCCCTCCTACATTACTTTCATTATATTACCTAATATGAATGGACCCGAGATCCTATTACTCCTCAAGTGCGCTATTAGATGCTACGACCGCCCACTTGTGAGGTTTCGACAACGGTCTCATCAGACGTGACCATCTGGCGACCCTCAAAACGAACCCTCAGAGACTTGGAAGCACCTTTGAGTTCATCCAATGGCCGAAGCCCACCGCCTGCTCTGGCACGAGAAACTTCGTCAAGGGCGACAAGCGTTACCAAAGACGAATTTTTGGCTTCCCGGAACGCGTAACGCTCCTCCCTGCTTGATGCTTGGCCGCTGTTCAAGTTGCTTTGGCTGATGATTGTGAGTGCCAAGAAGAGTAAAGCAACTCCGATTTCAACGGCAAGCACGGTTATCCATCCCCAGGTGATGTGAACGTATGAGACCTGCGTCAATGCTTCGCCAGAGATGTTGAAAGAGTTCGCGGTGTACCTCAGTGGCCGATTGACTCGCATACTGCTCAAGTAGTGAGGGTCAGAGAAGTTACAGTTTTTTTGATGGCGGTCAAAAGCAATATGATAAGATCGTAACGAATAGTTGACTTACCGTGATGACAAGCTGGTTGCAATGTTGGTGTGAATATTCTCCAGGCAAGTTTGGCGCAGAGTGGAGTTGATGATGTTGTTGATCCCAAATATGACAGTTTCGAAGAGAGTCTTGATGAACTCTTGTCCACGGAAGAAAACAGCTGTATCCCGATACTCTTTGGTGACGTAGCTAGCACTAGCATAGCCCACGGCATCGGTCTTTAACATGGAGGATATCATTTCTAGTGAATAGTAGCTTGCGCTGAACTGTTCTTCCTCAAGTGTCGAGTTGACGTTCAGCCTTGTCAAAAATCTCGGATCTTTGAGTTGTAGTGTTTCGTGCCAACGGTCGACGCTTTGGTTACACGTATGCGAAGCTTGCGCAAGAAGTGCCTTGCACCGCATGTCAAGAAAGAAGGGATCTTCTTGTTCAACGGGTACAGCAGATGTCTCGACGAGAGTGGTTGTTTCAATGCCCATGGAAATGTTTGTCTCGTACGTCTGGACGCATAGATGATACATGACCTCCATTGCCTCGTGACGAAAATCGTAGATTGCGCCGATGGCGTCCGACGCAAATGGCATTCCTATGGCTTCAGAGATCTCTTTCCACCACGTATCGTTGAGCTCAGTCGGGTTGGTGTAGATGACGGTAAAAGACGATATCCTAGTTTTCTGAAGATCTTCGTCGTCTTGAAAAGCAAAGGTCTCGCTCCCGTTGAGCATATCGACCATGGCCGACATTGGTGTCTGATGAGCCATTTCCAAGCCGCTAGGGAGAGACGCTCGCCATACCTTTACATTAGGGTTCGGATAACCAAGTACAAGAGTGTCGATCATGTCAGGAGAATCAAATTCCTCGACCCGCAAGTGTTCGGTGATGTTTGCCGTCTTCACGCAAACACCCAGAGATTGGTACCGTTCGAAGGTGCAGTTGCCCGTGGAGCAGAACGCTCCTGTGGGTGCAATAGGCTCCCGGAAATTGGTGGTGTCTGACAAAGTGGCCAATATTAAAGCATGTCGTGACCCTATGTTCATGCGATCGTCCTCGGATGTCATATTACGTAGGGCTGGGGCCTTGGCTTCCTCTCGTGGGGCCACAGAGTCTTTGACGGGATACTTGATGGCAAGTTGCGTAATAGGCGAAGTGAGGGCGCTAATGACCATCAGAAATGCACCGAGAGAAACGAAGTGTTTGTGTCTGATACGTTTCAACAGCATTACCGACCCCAAGGCCCTCTACTCGCTTGGTCAAACAGATGCAGGTCGTGAAGAGGTCTGTCTTTAAGGAACCATGACCATTGCGTCTGACTTATTGCGACTGATACGGGGAACATGAAGGCCGCTTTTGCTAGTGTTGTGAAAAAGGCCAGGAAGGTATTGAGAGTGATATTCAGCGGCCAGTCTGGTAAAGGTTGTTGGTCATAGCTGCAGAGGACCGCAACGATCACTAAAGCCCAAATGGTTAGTTTGTGTTTCCAAAGTCTTCCCTGATTGCAAAGGCTTGACCAACGTACAAAAGAATGAGGATACGCTGAGAAAGATATAGAACAACTCCCAGGTCCAAATACGCCATAGCGGCTTAATCGCAAAAGGTGCACATTCTAACTTGTTGACATTCTCGTCGCTCGAATAGCCTCGTTTTAGACTTTGATACCCCCGACTATCCAGGGTATCGAACGTGGATGTGGATACTGGCTTTCTGTTGATTGATATGTTTACAGCAGGTATGTCAGACTTTGGCCGTGCCGTGGAAGCCTGGTCGTATGGAAAGGCTGTTATTAAAGGATTCCCCTCAATCTCGGTAAGCGAACGTCTAGGCTGGTAATGTTCTCGTCTAGCCATGACTGGGCGCACAGCGCTGCCAAAGCTCTCGCACGAGACAGGTGTTTCTGGTATCTCGTGAGCAGTGATTCAGTTTGATCAATCTTCGTTGAGCTCCTACCATGCGCTTGGTCAAACTCAGGTGACCCTTGTCGCTCTCGCGAGATGAAATGTGGGAAAGCTTCTGCGGACACTGGTCTCGAAAGCCGCCCACGAGGTTCTTCTTCGAGGTCGGAGTGCAGTCCACTCTCTGTGAAGTGGCTGTTTCTTTGACCAAACATGATGGGTCGGCGCGTTGTGAATTTTGTTTTGTTTGAACAAAGTTTCGACTTGTAACGGGCGAAATGGCGTAGAGACACCTGAGTCCTGATTGATTCTTTTATGAAAGCGAGTTCTTGTCGGCAACTCATGGCTTGGCGTTGGACCATCGTAGGAAAGACTCGGTTAAGCACACTGCAAATGGGTCCTTCCCGTGGTCGCCAAGTACAACATGCAGCAAGCCAGTTCCCCAAACCGTAAACACACCTGCGGCAGAGTGCCATTTGTTCTGAACTCCCACCAACCAACTCCATGACCAGTTGCTCCACCAGAAATTCAAGGTTGGACTGCATACGAGCAAGCACAAAATGGAAGGCAACTAACACAGGCTGCTACGCCGTGAACAAATATAACACACTTCATGTTGGAGGCAGGTAGACAAGAGAAGCTCGTTGGTTGTTGGTCCACTCAATTCGGACTGGGCCTCGACTTCCATGCAGTTGGAACTCAGTTTACCTGCCCGAATCGGGGCATGGAGCTGGGGTCAGACAAAGGCCGACGAGCAAAAAAGACTTGATGCTACCTTGACCTTTTGTAACTTATGGATCGATTGTGAAAGTAAGGATATATCAAAAAGGCGCAGTTTCTGCCAGCGTCGTGGCGTTCTGGATGATTATTGCCCAGCTGGAAGCCAGTTGGGAAGTTTACGGAGCATCAGGCTTCAGTCGACGTAAGCTAAGACAAGAGAAAACTTCACAGCAACCTCGGCTGCTCGCAAAATGCCAAGTCTCTTTTCCGTTTCCCCTTTGGCAGCACGAACGTCTTCACCTATGGGCTGGCTGGCTATCAAATGGATCGATTGCCAATCACGTCTGCAGATGGTATGCAGGCATCGAACCACGGAACCAGCGAGCGGGGTACTGAGCCTAAAAGTTGTCGATTCATAACAATCATTGTGACAAGTCAGGCTCTGTTTTTAGGTCTTCCAACAACCAACTTGCGTTGATTCCAGGACCTGTTTCCCAGCCCACGGGCACGTCATACAGGCCTGTTGCAAATTTGACTCTTTGGCCGCCAGTCTTTCCCCCCTGGCGAGGCATCTCGTATCTCCTGGATCATGTCATCACTGAGGCAGCGGCTTCTGCCTGGATGGGTCTACAAGACGGAAGAATGCCCGATATGCCTATCCTTCTTCTCCACTGACATGCCACCCGGCCCGGACCCCCGAACCGGACTCGACCCCAAGTTCAAACCCGACCGCCGCTTACTGCAACCAGAGTACGAAAGCCGTTGTCACGGCTGCTGGGTAGCTCGTTTCAGAATCTCATTCTTCAGTCATATCCTCGAGGATGTGGACTCGGAAAATATGCGCGATGCCCTTTTCTACCTCGATGCAAACGTTGATGGAACAAACGTTGTTCTAACCGCGAGGAAAGGAGGGCCGAGAGGCGGTTACATATTATCAAAACTGCAACTGCTTAAAACAACACTACCACCGGCGCAGGGTTACATGCAGTCTTGGCTGCGATATATAATCTCTTTCCTCAACCCCAACGCTTATAACCGGCTACCCGTATATGTTGCCCATGCCTACGAGTCTCCTCCCATAGTAGGCCACACGGGATCTCAAGATGCGTTCAAGAAGATCTTTACTTGGTTCGACAACTGTGTCGCACAGCATCCGGACTGTGGCAGTGGTCTCAGTATACACCCAATGCCAACCCGCCTGATCGATATCTCGGACAGAGACAACATGCTGTTAGTTGAAGGGGTCACCAAAAGAAGTCATTATTTTGCTCTCAGCCACCGATGGATAGAAGCCTCCAAAATGCCACGATGTGTGAGCTCCAACATCGGATCGCTGAAGAAGAACATCCCTTGGTCTGCTCTTACCCGGAACTTTCAGGACGCCATCGTATTCATCAAGGACTTTGCCTTATGGTATGCACAAGGTCACTCGGAAAAGAGCCCATCCGATATGTCTGGATCGACAGCCTGTGCATCGTTCAAGACAGTGTTGCAGACTGGGATGCAGAATCAAAGCTGATGTGTTCTGTCTACGAGGGTGCACTCCTTACAGTCGCAGCGGCGGCTGGGCCTGATGGCTGCTTTGCTGCAGCTGAACGCGTCTACAAGGGATTTGACGTTACCAATCCTCACTGCCAGAACCCCAGATTATTACTGCGAAAGATGCTACCGGACCACGAGAATGAGTATGAGATGGCCGGGAGAGAACACGTCATACAACAGAAGAGTCTACGTCCGCCTAGCAGGCTAGACCTGATGACGAGGGGATGGGTGATGCAAGAAAGACTTCTATCTCGTAGATTCATCGTCTTTGCCCCCAACGAAGTGATGTGGGAGTGCTACGAAGGCTCGCAATGCGAATGCGGCAGGCTTTCTGGCATGACAGGCCATCTGAATCTCAAGGGAGAAGAGGGCGTGATGAGTCAGTACAATCAGACATCTTACCGGTACTACGACTCTAAGCGGGCAGAGAATCCGAACTATTCGTTCCTGCCAATGCCTCTCAAGATGGCATACTATGCCTCGTTAGACGACAAGGGGGAACACGCGGCACGAAACCTCCGTAACTGGTGGCGCCGGCTGGTTGAGAGATACACGACCCTGGACCTGACTCAGGAGTCGGACAGGCTACCCGCCATAATGGGTCTCGCAATCCAATATGGCCGCTGGACTGGACAAGAAATGAAGGGCTACCTTGCCGGGATCTAGAGAAAGTCTCTCCCTTTGGACTTGCTATGGCATAATGAGAATCCCTCCACGGAGTCAACCTCCGAATACTCTTAGAACAAGGGGCCACCATCGTGGTCCTGGGCATCTTGCCGTGGTCAAGTAAGAATGCCTCGAGAGGAGAGCTTGTCGAAGTTGACGTACTTCGCTCGACTGACTTCTGTCAACGTTGGCATGCAAATCGCGGTTGGCATGAGATGTCCTGTTTTCGCTGGCTTAAGTGAAAGAACAAGAGATGAAACATTTCCGATTGCTGTGCTGGACTACGCTCCTGATAGAGCGGCAAGTCTTGCTACTTCCATTTGGGAGGACGAGGCCATGTTTGCCCTGGTTTCAAGAGCGGGAGCGGGCGAAGGCGATGAGACTACCTGGATGTCCCTTCACATCAAACCCGTTCACGATTCCGAAGGTGGCGGCATCAAATCCAGCCGGATAGGACTTCTTGAATTGGCAAGGCGCAGATACCTACGTAATAAGGTCACTTGCTCAGATGAATTGGTAGAATCGTGTTTCAAGTCGAGAACAGTGGAAGAGATAGAATTGGTATAAGTAGTGGCTCTTTTCAACAACATCACTTCGATTCTTTTGACCTCGAGAACTCAAATGTCCGCTCAAATCGCAAACGACACCACTATGATCGAATCAGTATCACAACTCAGCAAGTTCGCATTGACTAAAAGGAGGGGCTCTGTAACTTACGTCGCCACAACTAATCGGCTCATACTTGGGCGGGTTCTTCTCATTCGTGCAGGTAGGGAGCACAGAACACTGCTCATTGTGGTTGAACCCAAAGAAGAAGGGCATGGAATACCGGTCCTCGGGGGCATAGTTGAAGACCCTGTGCACCGTCGACTTGAATCTGTCATTGGACAACCGCTGCAAAAAGTCGCCAATATTGACGACGAAGGTGTCAGGGACGGGCGGCACCTTGATCCACTGGCCGTCTTTTGTGAGCACCTGCAGCCCGCCGACGCTGTCCTGCCAAAGGAGGGTGAAGCACTGTAGGTCAGTGTGGGCCCCCAGGCCGACGTCGATCGTGGCGTCTTGCGCTTCCGTGTTCTTTGGGTAGTAGTTGCAGACGCTGTCACTGTGGGACTGTCAGTCTGCTCAGGGGAATTGGTATCACGATATGGCTCGTCTCGGAGACATACCTTCCGGGATACGTAACGACATCGTCAAAATAGTTCTCAGGCACATCCAACGCCAACGCAAAAGCCCGAATCAAGCTCCTCGCAAGCGTCAGACAGCCCTGCCAATACGTAATCATATCGTCCTTGAACCCGGGCAAATGGCTCGTGCCCTCCCAGACAAAGTCCTCATGCTTCATCCACGGCTTCACCTCCTCCGGCACGGCATCCGCGTCCTTGGTCTCAGGATCATACCGCGGATCATACCGAAAACTGAACCCCTCACGATGATCCTTGGTCTCCGTCGGCGAAATCTGCGCAGCGCGCTTCTCGGTCCACCCGTTGAAGAACTTGGACCGCTTCTGCGTCACCAGAGCCTTCTTCTCATTCGTCTGCGAGAAAAAGGCCTGCGCCTGCGAAAAGGCCGCGTCAATGGTCGCCTCGGGGATGCCGTGGTTCTTGATGTAGAAGAAGCCCGTGTTCTCGGCCGCTTCTCGGATGGTGGCGGCGAGGGCTTTGCGCTCGGCTTCGGTGCCGCGGATGTTGGAGAGGTCGATGACGGGGACCTCGGCGGCGTTGCAGTCTCGGGGCGGGGTCTTGAGGACGTCGCGGTAGACCGGGCCGTAGGCGGACATGAGCTCGAGCTTGTAGCTCTCTGGGGCGGTTTCCGTTACCGTGGTAGACATGGCTGCGGGTTATGAGAATGGAATCGGTCCAGCTGTCGAGTTCAAGTGTTGAGTCGAGCTGTTTCGGAGTCTATCTCGAGCTAAGTTGTAGTCTCCCAGCTGTAAAGTCAAGGCAATAGATCCCCTTGTGAGTTTCGTGAAGTTGTCTCTTTTTTAAGATCAACATTAACGATAAGTATCAATACATCAGGTAAGGATTAATGTGTCAACTCCGACTAAAGCCTCCGGGTGAATTAAGTGCTCAGACGGAATGAATCAAACCTTGTCCGGTAGTGAAAGATCGTCCGGCGGTCTTAGCCGGAGATCGTCTGAGATTTGGAGAGGAACGAATGGCACGATAGCCAAAGATAATGGCGTGCGACGCGGTTCGTTGGAGACAATCGGGAAATCCGCTCAGCACGGCCGCTTATCGCTCTCGGGGGAATTGGGCCGACAACGGACCGTGTGGGGTACGGGGGTGATCCCCGTCTTCGGAGCAACAGGGGTCCTTTGTTTCCCGGGGGCATCTCTTCTCCCCGTTGGCCTATATACATATACACGATGCCGATCCTCCAAGTACTTGGCATGAGCTGAGAGGTCTTGGTGAAGCTTGGCCTCACTGTAGTCCTTCACATGTGGAACAAGGTAGCTGTATACAGGACTACAGTTCACGCACTATGATATTCGTAGATACAATGGTAATACAGCAATGGGAATGTTCGTTCTATGGTAGGTTGCACATTGTGTCGGCCATCGAGACTCGTCGGGACCCCTGCACAGCTTATCTCCCCCACATGAACCGCATGCCTCCGGTATCTCGAACTTGAAGGATCTAGTATCTTGGGTTATCAGCATGCAGCAGCCGATCACGACTCCATAGCCGACACGATTACCATGCTGTCGGGTGTAATTTGGTATAAGTCGCTGTCAAAGCAGCATTGAGCTCCTCGGGGTGTGTCCCTTTTGCATTTGCGTTCATGCAACTTGTACGGGTGGGCGGGCATTGCTTCTTCAGAAGTGATCATCACAGTCGGGCATCCATAGTTCGAGCATCATCCGGCCTCCGGAATCAAGCGTGCCATAACGGCGCACCCACACACCAGAGATGGGCCTCCTAAACCGCCTCCGCGTCCCCGCCGCCGGCGGCACCACCGAAATCCACGGCCGCGACGCCCTGCTCGAAAATGACGACCTCCGCCCCCTCAAGCTCGCCGACCGCACCTGGACCCAATGGACCTACTTCACCTTCTGGTTCTCCGCCACCGCCACCGTATCAAACTGGTACGCCTCCTCCACCGCCCAGGCCCTCGGCCTCTCCATGTGGGAGTCCCTCGCCTGCGCTTTCGGGGGCCAGTGCCTCATCGCCGCCATCATCACCCTTAACGGTCGGCCGGGCAGCTGTTACCACGTCGGATACCCCGTCGTCTGCCGGGCCGCGTTCGGCGTCTACGGCGCGTGGTGGCCGACGTTCAATCGTGCCGTTATGGCTATTGTCTGGAATGGCGTGAATGCCGTGCAAGGGGGCCAGTGCATCTACGTGATGCTCCACGCCATCATCCCGGGTATCGCAAACATTCCCAACACAATGGGCGAGGGATCAGCGCTCACGACGGCGGGGATGATTGGCTTCGTCATCTTCTGGCTCATCACCTGTGCCTTCCTAGTCATCCCCGTCCCCAAGATGCGTGGGCTCGTCTACGCGAAGTTGTGCGTCTTCATTATCTCCGCCGTGGCCATGCTCGCCTGGACGGCCACAAAAGCAGGCGGTCTCGGTCCTGTCGTCCGGCAGGGCGGTACGGCGACGGGGTCGAGGAGGGCGTGGCTCATTGTGCAGTTCCTGATGCTCGGCGCGGCCAACTGTGCCACCTTTGCGAGTAACGCTGCCGATTTCCAGCGATACGCCAAGAAGAAGAACGATGTCATTGTCGGCAACCTCTTCTGTTTCCCCGTGGCCAACTTCATTGTGGCGGCGGTGGGGAACCTCGTCTGCGCCTCTAGCGAGTTGATCTTTGGCGAGTTAATTTGGAACCCAGTGACGCTGCTGGATAATCTCCAGACAGCCGAGTATACGGCGGCCAATCGAGCTGGATGTTTCTTTATTGCCGGTTGCTTCGCGTACTGCTGCATCTTCAGTTCCATCTTTGAGAACTCCTTGCCGGCTGGTAACGATATCGCGGCCTTGTTCCCCAAGTATCTCACCGTCCGAAGAGGCTTCTTTGTCTGCGCCGTCATTTCGTTTGCCATCAACCCTTGGTTCCTGCTGGTAAGTCTTGCCGAGCCCCTGAGCTCTCAACAGTCCTCGACCCACCTGTCAAGTACCATAGCTAACAAGCGCCAGGGCTCTGCCTCCGTCTTCGTATCCTTCCTCTCATCCTACCAAATCTTCCTCTCCGCCATCACGGGCGTCCTGCTGGTGAACTACTACATCATCGGCCGCGGCCGTATCAGCATCCCGGATTGTTTCACGTCCATGAAGTCAGGGGCCTATCACTACTCCCATGGCTGGAACATCCGTGCCTACGTCGCCTACATCGTCGGCATCGTTCCCAACTTTTATGGCTTCCTCAATAATATGGGTGTTTCGGCCCCCATTGGCGTCACAAGGTTCTACTTCTTTGCGTACTGGGTTGGTTTGTTCCTGTCCGGCTTTACCTTTTGGGTTTCCTGCAAGATCTGGCCGCCTCCGATCATGGAAGAGGGATGGGTTGAGCCCAAGGACTATGTGAGGCCCGAAGAGCTGGAAGGCGAGGGGCAGATGATTGAGGCAGTCGACATGCCCCATAGCGGCGAGGTGATGGACCATGAAAAAGGTCTTGGTGAAAAAGCGGCGCAGGTGTGGTGTAATGAACCACAAAGCTGCCGAGAAGGCGACACGACACATGAGATAGACCCGTTCAGATAATGCTAGTACGAATAGAATGTCAAGATCCCGAAAAGGATCGCAATCTGATTGATGATGGGAAGCTACCTGCTAAAGCTCAGCAAGAAGACTCCAAGCAAGTGGCCTGGGATGCATGATGTCTCGACCGTATGGTCTTCTAAAGACTAGGCACGGTATACGGGCCTCTGTGACTCCTAACGCCTCTTAAATTCACGCTCAACCCCAAAGAAGCATCCGCTCTAAAAGGACGAAACAGTGGTGACGTGCACCACCGCGTCGATATATAGGCGATTCCAAACAGTGCACGCCGTGCCAGGCTTTATCTTGAACATTCCGTTCGGGCCCATTAACAACGGCACCGTGTTCTCGAGTTTCACCTTGAGTTTGCCCGCGGCCAGGGAGCAGATTCGGACTTTCTCCGATTCAGCGGTCCATTCATGCGACTCTCCGGGCTTGATGACGATGACGTTGAAGAATATGTCCTCAGAGACAGTCACCGCTTGGTTGCTCGTGAGATAGGAGTTGGAAAAGGCCACATCTAGGGCATGGTAAGCATCGTTTTGTAAGTTAGCTGAGAAAATGCAAGACGTACTCGTTGCAGATTCGCTGCGTTCATCACGAATCCGGCCTGGGGCAACTTCCCAGTCTTCCATTTCCAGGGTGTCGGCTGGCATCGGGTTGCCACTAAGCGAAGAGGCATGTTCGATGGGCGTTGATGACTCGGCAAGAAGTGGTGTAGTAGCCGCTGAGTGCCTCGTGGTTCTTCTAGGCGGGTTAAGGGGTGGTTGGCTATCGGTTTTGTGAACGCTTGGAGCCGGCTGTGTCGATGGCGGCAGGGAAAAGGTAGCCACCGGAGTAGAGGTTTTGAGAGGTGGCTGAGATGCTGGAGGATATGGCAGGGCATATGCGTCGGCAGCGGTTGTCGCAGACGCGGAGCGGGTTGCAACCGTAGACCGTGTAGGTGGTGCTATCGGAGTCACTTGTGGGCTTGACGTTCCTTGGCCCGAGGACAAGAAGGAGCAGTTGTTCCTTTCTCTGCGGAAGTTGGATCGCCACTGACATCCGGAGCAGGCCTTGTTTCCAATCTCCTTCAAGAAGCCAGGAGCCGCGGCGGACATGACGACACATGGCTGAAGAAAATTTTCAAAAGGATCACTGTGCTTGTAGCACACGTGGCAACATGGTGTTGCAATATCGCCAGTGAGAAAGATCAGAAGCGCAACTGTGGCGAGGGGTGCCAAGTGCCCGATCCCAGTGTATTTCAACTTCCAAGCCTGAGGTAACAAGCGCCGTCGAGGCAGCTTGAGCAGCGCCTTCACATCCGGCCTTTCTATCGGTATTTTATACGCCGGAGAAAGGTGTCCGGAAAGGTATGTGAGCAGCCCATCTGAGGCGGCAACGCTTTGGCTCGAAGGCGGGGCCACAAGAGGTGGCTTTATAACCGTCATGTCATTCTTCAGATCTAACTTGGGAATGGCCCGGGATGGGGCCGGATCCACAGGCTTCGAAGTCGGACCCCACGAAGCTGGGTTCGGAGGTCCGGCCGGGCCCGATACAGGCTTATAGCCAGCAGTCACTGGCTCCGCCAAGGGAGGCTCGTCGCCCCGGAGCAGATTCTGCGAGACCACGATGGGAGCCGCGTATTTCGTGCCCACCCTCTTATAGTAGTCAACGAACGACAGGGTCCCGTCGAGATTGTCATTGAACTTGGAGCTGCGATGTTTTGCCTGTATTCTGTCAATATTACTGGGCTTTGCATCACCGGAAGAGAAGACTTACGCAGAAGTGTGCTCCAAGCCCATTCCACTTTGGAAAAATGACGCGGCAATTGCGCACCGGACAGATGTAAGGGTTTTGGGGGTCAGAATGAAACTTGTAATTTGTAGGGATGATGGCACCACATGTGGACTCGATGCCGTTGGGCGTCCTCCATTGCAGATACCCGCGAGGATGCGGGTTTTTCGTGAAAGTAAACTCTTGGTCGGAGCCTTGGGACGTTGGCTGCACACCTGTTAGTGAGATTCTGTGGGCTAGACAGTGCTTCTCTTACCAGTGCTTCTCTTACCAGTGCTGTTTTTGCAGATGGCGTCCCCGTGGTGTTGATCTCCAGGTCGTCTCCAACCTCTTTCTCTTCGTCATCATCCGTCACGTCATCGTCAGCCTCTGCTGGATCGTCGTAGTCCATATCCTCGTCCGAAGATTCAAAGACTTGTGGTTGTTCCGTCGCAATCGCCAGGGACAAGCCATCTTCGGTGCTTTTCATGATACTTGGCCTTCCGACCTCGAGGGCGTTTAGCAGATCCTGCTCTGTAGCAGTCGCATTTGACTTTTCATCGGGCGATCTCATGATCGATGCGCCATGAACACCAACGTCCGTTGCCCGCCGCTTAGCATCGCCCTCCGCCAAGTTCCCGGTCAGAGAGTGCTTTCTCTTGGACGATGCCTCGGATGCAGATCCTGCGAGGTGTGTCAGTCAATGGCAGTTTCGAATCCGTTCCTCCATGAAGCGCCGTCAAGAACGACTCTCAAACGGAGTGTGCCTGTGAGGCTCAATCCGGTAAGAGCTGGAAGGAGCAAGTTAACTCACCACCAAGCCAGTCCTTTGCATTCGCCGACTGTCCAGCAGAACTCAATTGACCTCCAGAAGCGTTGCTAGAGGCCCACGAATCTTGCAGAGCCTGGATCTTGGCATGCTGCGCAAGACTCTTCTTCTCGCGCGCCATGTCGAAATCTGAACCGCCCTCCGAAACTACCGCCTCGGCTTTGACTGCTAGTGGATCTTCGGGGTCGGGCTGAGCAATGTCGCTCACAATGCGAGCTGGTTCTGGGCTGCCTGAGTGCGTGCTACCGCTATCGTCGGATTCCTCGATACCTGAGCTTGGTTGAGCGGATTCCAGCTCTGGCGTGTTGGTGTTGCTCTCAGCCTGAGCTTGAGTAGGGGCAGAAGCAGGAGCAGAAGCAGGTGACGATAAAGTAGGCGCCGTAAATATCTTTCCGCCTAGTAAGGAAGTCGCCCAAGGTGGTGCCATTCCTCTATAAAGACTCGGCCTTATGAGCGGTTTCGCTGCTCCAGTCCGCTTCATCTTCCTGCCTGAAGGTTCCCCACTGCCGGAGGCGGAAGAAGGCGACTCTGTGCGGGTGGCATTGTTTGCTTGGGCTGTCGAGGCCGTATTGGCTGGTGATGTGACGTGGTTGAATGAATGTGAGAGCCCAGATGGTTGTGCGATCTGAGCGTTAGATGACATTGTTCGAATCCTTTGACTTGAGAGATGAAGTTGCTGCCCACTCATGCAGCTGCAAGCGCACTTCCAGATTGGAGATGCTGCGGGGGTCAAGTCCAGGTCCTATCACTTCCAACTGCTTCGCATCAAGTTGAGGGAGGCAAACGGTAGTTTAAGATATATATGAAGATCAGGTATTATAGCAAATGAGAATTAGATTCCGGCAGACGTCTGGGCGTTTGATCGTGAAGAGCAATGAGAGAGTGAAGAGAAGGTTGAAGGTTCAAGATGGACGTTGAAGGAGACGCGACGGGAAACGCCAGCTGCTGGAAACGCATGTGGCTAGGTTCAGGTACTCTCTCCCCTAAAGTTGGTGGTTTGGTACATGACAATCCAGCAAGTGCCTCCCCACACGCGACCTCGACGGGAAGTCATTAAAAAAAGCAAGTGCCAACGGCTGCCCCGAAGAGCCCCTTTCCACTTGCAACAAGGCAAGGTACCTCAAAGTGTCGACTTCTGAGCCGCTTAAATACCTGTCTAAATACCTGTCTAAATACCTGTCTAAATACCTATCTTCGTGTCAGAATTCGGAGCTAGATCTGGCTGATAGGCTGGGAATGCTAGAAAGACTGTATGAGCAGGCAGGTCGATGGGTAGTGACACCAAAATCGTGGATGCTAGTATGGATTTGTACAAGATATTCTACACTCAAGATGACCCCCATGACATTTACGCCTCGGTAGCCATGATACACATCATCCCAATTCGCCTACTCTCACATGTATTTTCCACTCATGCCCCAAGCAAACCCCCCCCCCAAGTAAAACGCAGTTGATCAACTACCGCTTCTTCTGCGACTTGGCAGTCTTGGCCGCCACCTTCTGCGCCTTCTGCTTCTGCTTCTTCTGCTTGGCCAAAACAGCGGCATTCTTCTGCTCCGACAGCCTCTTGGACGCCGCAATCGTCCACTCGTCCACCTCCATCGCCGCAAACTTGGCCTGCGCCTCCCTCTGTCCCGACAAGTTCCGCTCCTTTGCGAATCTCTTCTGCCTCAGCTTGGCCTTGCGGCTCATACCGCCAATGTTCATCTTGACCAGCCGTCCGATGCGCCAGTTATCCTCGCGGTACGAGTAATCATCCCGCAGCTTCAGGATCCTCGCGGGCTGCGTCGGCGCGCCCTTGGCCGTCCGGGGCGCGGGCCGCACAATCTGCGTGGGGATGCCAGAGGCCGAGATGGCGGGCGTCTCGACGGGCTTGGCGATGGTGTGTGCCGACATGTTGAGCTTGCGCTTGCGTTCGGCGTGCGTCGGGTAGGGGAGGACGTCGTCCTTGTTGAAGACGACGCCAATGTATTTCCGGTCAGGGTGGCGCGCGGGATCGCGGTAGTATTTGACGTAGCCCGTGGCCATGGCGTGGATCGTGTGGTCGCGGCCCATGATGCAGTTCTCGCCGGGCCACCAGAGGGAGCCGCGCTGCTTGTAGATGATGTTGCCGGGGATGACATACTGGTCTGAAGCAAGTTGTTAGCATCGAGCTCTTGACGGTAGTGATGGGCATGGAGTTCTCCACTGAACCCAACCCAAGATGGATGAATGACAAGGACAGAACAAACGTACCACCAGTGCGCTTCGCTCCCAGCTTCTTCGGTATCGTCCTCTTGGGTGCAAGCTTGTAGGCACCCTGCGACTTGACGGAGGCGTATCTTCGTCCGGCCACGAGGACGTTGGCGGCATCGGCGCGGAGGAGCTGAGCGGCGATCGATGTCGTCGATTGGATCGGTACGGTCGGCCGCAAGAGACCGGCAGCAGCGGCCATCAAGGGCCGCTGCAATTGGAATAGACGCATGAGGTGTGCTTCGTGGACGAGCTGCCCATATATCGTCAATTGGCAACTCAACTGGCTGGGTATTGCGTTCTCACCAATTGAAGCTTTGCGTGCACCAAGGGAGATGGGCTGAGAGTATTTTTCCGGCTGAGTCAGCGGGTTGCGATAGCGATAAGGATTTCGGGGGCGGGTTCCAAGATGCAGGTGGTCTTTTGGACAGCTATCCGTAGGCGCATTGACGCAGCCAGGCACAGGTTACAGCGACATTGCACAAGACGACCAACACCTCGAGCGATTACATCGATCAAAATCAAAGAGCAAATCCAGAGAGGATCTGCTCGTACGTTCATTCTGATACCTGAAGACACGAAACCGACGAGATGCGCTTCTTCGCCTCCCTCCCGCTGGTCCTCCTGACCCTCATCAGCTCGGCCCAGGCCCAGTTTGGCTTCTTCGACCAGATGTTCGGCGGCCAGCAGCAGCAACAGCAGCCCCAAAACGTCCCAAGTGACCCTTCACAATACCAGCAACGATACGACGGCTGTAAGATTTCTCACCACAATACCTGTAACCTGTAAAATCACAAAAGCTAACAAACGTAGCCTACTGCGAACACTACCTCTGCCCCGACACCCTCGCTTGCGTCCACTTTCCTCACCACTGCCCTTGCCCGTGGCCCGCGAACCAGGACAAATTCGAGCTCTCAGACGGCAACCGGATCTGCGTTTCGAGAGGCGGCTTTGCTGCAGGCGAGGCGGTGAGGAAGATTGAGTTGGCGCGCACGGGTCTTTTGTAAGGAACGAGGTTAGAGGGGTAGCAGGACGAATAGGCATTGCGAGGCGCACATATGTATCATGATTCTTCCATGATACTTTTTCTGGTTTCCTTTTCACATGGACCATAATGATGGATGTTATGAGACAGACAAGAGTTGATAGGACAATTCAGACTCTATTGAAAGTGCCAGGTTCTGGCCGAAGCAAAAAGCCTACTTAGTCGTGCCGAAATACTCCTCCCCTCCTCTGACGGCGGCAAAGACGCTGCCGACGGTGAACAGGAAACAGGCTGCTGCAATGACTGCGAAACGCGACGATTACAGACGCGAAGGCCCCGGAACGCCGCTAAAATCCCCATCCGTGATATCCACCCAGAACTCCTTCTTCGTGTGCCACGCCGTTGCCGGATGCTAATCTTCATCTCGACTCCAAAAAAGCGTCAACAGTGCGTGAAAATGCTCGTAATGCGTCTCCCGTATCGTCCTCCTCGGTACGGCGTGCCGGCTAAAGGTGAAATCAGCCAGCGATATCCGCCGCTCAGGCTCAGGCCCAAGCTCAGGCCTGGCCGTTGGTTGCCTCGCTCGGCCGGGGAAGAGCAGGGACGGGAGGCGGCCCGGCGCGGGCGGCGCGCTCCTCGTCGTCCTCCTCCTCCAGTTCTTCGGGGTGGCCCAACAAGTGGGCCACATCCTTCATTTCGTAGTGCTTCTTGCGCAACTCCTCGAAACGACGGTGCTTCTCCCGCTCCTCGGGCGAAAGGCCGGCCAGCTCATCATTGTCGCCGTGAGCACTGGCGTTCTCGTCGACGTGGACGGCCTTGAGGGCCTTTTCCTTGGACGACTCGCTTTCCGGGACCGCCTCTTCCGGCTCGCCAAGCGACATGATAGGGATATCATCCTCCACGCCAGGACCAGCACGAGCCGTGCGAGGCTTCCTCTCAACGTTGGGGTCCTCCGACATTTCCTCGTCGTCCGAGGGGTCCTCGGTGGGGTCGTAGTGCTTCGCATAGGGAGTCTTGGGCTCGTCAATCTTCATAGTCGACGTGCGCTCCTGCTCGGTCAGGTAGAGGTTGGCCTCGTCCCACTTGAGGCGCTGGGACGACTCGAGATCTTGCTCGTCGTCGTCGCCCTGCTGGGAGGGGGTTCGGCTGGATTGACGGCGGGAGCCCGAGGGGCGCGCAGCAGAAGAGGAACGGCGGTGGCCAGCGTTGTATTGGGTGTTGACGAGGGTGAGCTCCTTCTCGGTGAGGTCGGCTTCACCGGGTGATGTCGGGGGCGACTTTTGGTACGAGTTCTTGAGGATACCTGTTAATAGGTGGTGGTCAGTCATTGCGAGCTTCCCGGTGAAAGCTTGCGGTTGAGGTCTAGGATGACCGACGCCTTGCAGAAGAATTACTCACCTCTGGGTCGCTTGGGATGGGGACCAGGAGGGGAATGCGTAGGGGGGCTGCGTTCGACGATGGCGGCCATTTTGAAGGTTTATGCAACAACGACGGACTAAGCTAAGGTAGTGTGCGAAGCGCTGGGATTTTGGGTGAAGCAAAGGTAGAAGTCGTGGTACCCAGTCTCGTGAGATGTGTCGGTCAGGTCGTTGGTTTTTAGTTGGGTTTGGATCAGTGTGGCTCGGTTGGTATTAGGTGAGGTGGGTGGGTAGAGGGTAAAATAGCGGGGTTTTGGGAGATCTGGTGACGAACGGCGATGGTTTTGTTCAGAGGTGCTGCACTGCTTGGGGTGTTGCGTGCAGGCGTGTGCAGTGTGCAGTGTGCAGTGTGCAGGCTTGCAGCTGGGGTCCTGAGGATGACGAGGGGTGGTGGTTCGTGACCTGCAGGGTGCGGGCAGCGGGTGCTTGTGCGGGTGCGCCGACCATGGGTGTGGGCTGAGCTGTGCTTCGGAGCTGGGTAGGAACTTGGGACGTCCCTCTTCCTTTTTTCCCGCTCTTTTTTCTTTTCTTGGGTTGAACGGTGGAAGGGGGCTCGTGATGTTTGTGAAACAGGGAGATTGTTGTATTGGGACCAAGATTGTCGGGATGTGTCGAAGAAGAATGTGTAGAGGTTGTCGGGACGATCTGGGCTTATGGGGGGTTCGGAAAGAAAAGGAACCCAGGACTAAGGTGGGTAGCAAGAGTCGTGAGACTGACTGCAAGATGATGAACAGATGGAGGCGTACTGAGGGACTTTCTTGCCGTCAGGAGTTGTGGAATGTCAGGCAAATGACAGCGGTATGGTGGGCAGGTGAGCAGATGCGGCAGAGGAGCTGCCTTTTGAAGGTTGCCATCTTGTCTTATACCACCGGGCCATGGGCAATTGGCAGATGCAGCTCTCCCAGGACACCCACCCCTCATTAGCACATGGAAGAAAGTCTGGACTCGGGAGAAGGTGGCAGATGCACCACAGCTCATGAGGAGGCACGCAGGCACGCAGGGTAAGGTGGGTTCACTCTGTCACCTCGGGCTCTAATTATTCTCGAATACCTACACAGCAACATTACATCTCTCTTCCCAGCTGAGGTTGCATTCTCGGGCTTCTTCATGGCTTGCCTGCAGACACAGACACAGATAGATGGCGAGAGATGCCTGGCAGCTAGAAAGTGCTCGTGTGAGTGAGGTGGTGTGTAAGGTATCTGCGCAACTGCGGTATCCGGGGATGAGAGGGAGGCTGGGGTGGCCTTCCAATGGAAAAGAACTCCCCTCACCTACCTTGGTGAGTGAGGGAGGGTCTCAGTCACCTTTTTCGGGGTCGCTATCCCCTCCCCTCGTCCCACTCACCAGGTACCTACCTACCTTGTCGATTCACTCAGGTCGCTTTTGGGGGCCTCTCACCGGCTCACGCACCAAAGGGCCGCGTCTTCCGCGTCTGTCGCTTCCGAGAACCTAGAAGGTGATGATGGATCATTGACGTCGGGTGTCACTGCAGCTATAGTTCGCTTCCAGCGTCTTCTACCTAAGCGACCAAGGCAAGGCACAGTCAGGCAAGGCAGGGCATGTAAGACACATCAGACCTTTGCTGCGAGGGTACGAAGTAGGACTCAGGGTGATTCCAAGACGCAAGAGGTACCTCCCACCATGACTTCTGAAGGAGTACCTTATGCGTATCTTCATCCTTGTTTCGACTACATTAGCCTGTCGCGAGGTTGGGCTTGCTTGGGCGTGTTTGGGCTGGGAGCCGCAGTGAAGAAAAGGCCGCCATGCGTCAGGAAAAGGCGAGTGGTGGAAAAGCCGGAGCTCTGGCCGCCAGAGGTATCGAGTAACCTTGCAGACGATAAGGCAGATATCTCTTGTGGCCTTCAGGTATCCAATTCCCTCGTGCCTTGTATCCTGAGGTTCAAGTCTTCCAGAGTTCTCCATGTGGAAGGAAAATGGCAGGTGTGGACCCCGACCCCTGGGTCGCTCCTCCGCCGTTTGGTTGGTGCTCGACGTGCAGATGGTCTGTGCATGGGATCGCGATCGGCCTAAGCAGCCAGGTGCGAAGCAGCGGCGTGCCAAACACACGGAAGGAAGAGGCGATGAGCGGCTTCCCGCTGCTGCCTCGTGCTGTGTCGTGCACCGCCCAAAATTGTTCCTATTTCCAGATCTCATCCATACCTTGCTTGGTATCTCACTCTCACTCTCACTCTTACTCTCACTCGCACATGTCGTGTAATTCACTTTAGCCAATTCAGCCCTTCTCATCTCACTCGACGACCCTGAAGCTAGTTTCAGCTCACAAGTCAGTATGCCGACGCGTATTGACATCGAGTAAGACGTATCCAATAATCATTTCTTCTGCGACTCATGCCATCTTAATGAAAACCAAGTCAATTCGCGACATGACCCCTCATCTCCCTGCCTCCCAACGCACTTCGCTGCTGAAGAGACTCTTTTGTCTTGCTTACCCCCTCACACTCTGCCTACTTTCCAATGACTCTAGAGCCTCCCCACCATCGTGACGACGTCATCCGACATGCATCATCCCTCGTCAACATCCATCACCATCCACTAACCTTTCCACTCTCCACGATGGCTCGCTTTCTCTTCCCTCGTTTTTAACGCTTTCCCCTCACTCTGCTCACTGCTCAGAGCAAACCGCGGCTGTCATCCCATAAAGTGACCTCATGCCGCATCTCACAAACACACCCACAACCAATCCCATTTCCCCAAACTCACAAGTGAGATCCCCAGAGTTCATGCACTCCAGCTCAGACCAAGGTAGCGCAAAGTCATCATCGTGTAGGTATCCTCGGGCTCGCTCCTCCATGGGCTTCTGGACTGAAGCCCATCGGTCCATCGCCCCGTCATCAAACGCCCCGGCGCGGCCCACTAAACTCCCGTCGCATGGCAGCGTCATTCCAGACTCTGGGGTGCATCGTTCCCAGCTAGTCTCTTCGTAGTCCTCGTACACATTGGTTTCTACCTATCCGCACTCATCCCAATCATCTTCAAAGCCAACAATTTCACTTCACGCCGACCGTTCTTCTTCAGCGTTGAGCGTTCAAACCTGCATCTCACAATTGCCGATTTCCATATCCGAAGCAGGCAGGAAAGTTCCACTGCCTTCCGGACATCCAAACTTCAGGCTCGCATCCCCTTCGTCAACGTTGCACCTCATTTCTCCGAAACGCCGGGCCCCCTCAACACATGTTTGCTTTGACCTCCGATGAACAAAAACCCTAAATGATCCACTTCCACACACGGCCCGGTCTCGGCCGCCGTTGACTTTCCCGCTTCCGGCCCTCATCCCGCGTGGTTTATCCCGCCAAATTGCCCCGGTGCCCACCGCATTGGTTTCGACGGGAGGATTCTTCTCTGGAATGATACAAGGCCACCAAACATTGGATGGACACAAACAAACAAGTCCTTCTATTGTGTGCGATTTGTTTCGGTTTTCTCTTTCAAGTCTCAGAATACCCAAGAAGAATTCGCGCGGATTCCTGTCACCGAGGTTCAACTCCGTGAGAAGAGAGGTTGCACTAAACTACGATAATTCAACCGGCTGTGAGGAACATTGCCTGTCGGAAGATTCTTCAAGGGATAGCATACACTACGCAGTGATTCATTCTAAGCACACAGCCCTATGGATATCTCGTGAGACGGGCCGAAAAGGCTAATTCCAGCGGTTCAATAACGCCAATGGCTATGCTCGTTCAAGCAGACTTGCTTACAGCATCAAGTTGTGCGACCCTTGCCTCATATTTATAAAGATCCGTCACTCAACCTACTCTTTGGGTGATACAGCCTTGACGGTGACTGTCAAGGGGTCCCCCCCCCCCCCCCCCCCGCCTTGGCCTGGCGAACCATGGCCTGGAACTGGCCCTCGTTCATCAAATCCTTCATCACAATCTCCCTCGTCCTCTGGAGACCTTCCAGCTCATCGAGTCTCTCCAAGCTGGCCTCGAGAAGCTCGTCAAAGCCCTCCTGCGCGCAGATCTCCCGGAAAGCATGGTGCATCGGGACAGAGTCCGCCCGTACCATGGAGTTGGAATCGATCGAAAAGATGTTAAAGTGATCATGCTTCTGGATGAAATCGAACCTCGTCATAAGGAATCTCGCCTCGTGAAGAGGCATCTCCGGGAGCTTTCCGGCCAGAAGCTCCTCTGGCTTCATATTCTTCTCCTTTTCAATCAACGCCTTGGCCAGCAAAAATGCCGTCGTGGCGTGGTCTTGCTGAGCCTCGGCATCTGGATCCATGTCGGCGCCCAACATCCAGCACTGGCCCAAGAGCCAGCGCTTCTCCCTGTCGCAGATGAACTGGCAGGCCGCGAGCATGTCTTTTGATCTGGCGACGTGGTCGAGGAATCTGACGCGTCCGCCGACCAGCTTGTAGACTCGGTTCAGGATGTCGCTGGACACGTCCTCCTTGAAGACCTTTTGCCGGAACTCGTGTAGAGCTTCGACAGCAGGATCGCGGGGCACATCGCGGACGTCGGTCACGGAGATTCGCGTGGCTTGCCACTTGAGGTGCTCAGTTGTGCTATGGTCGTCGCTGGTGAACACTACCGTGACGAGTCGACTTGCCGCCCACATCTCTGCTCGCTGTTGGATCAACTCCAGAAGCTCGCGTCCGTCATCGTCATCTCGGAGGACGTGAACGCGGTTGATAATCAAGACTAGCGGCTTCCGAATGTGTCTCTGTCGCATCAGGGCCACCTTCTCCATCTTGTTGAAAGCTCTTTCGATGTCAAGGATGGCCGTCGAATCGCGAGGTCCCTTGAAGCTGAACAAACTTCCGATGTAGTCCTCGTGGAACTCAAAGTCAAGGGCCTTTCCTAGGCGAAGGCGGAAGACTTCGAGATCGCTATGGGCTTCGAGCATGGCGATCCCCGAGCCGTTGACCCTGCGCATCGCCTTGAGAATCATAGAGCTCTTTCCGGTGCCCTTTTCTCCCGTGATCAAGTGATATTGACCCCGGATACTCCCATCAATGATGCCGTCGATGTGTTCCTGCTCCGCGCGAGGAATCCATTCATTCTCACCCTCCAGACCCGTGAAATCATCAATGGTATGGAGCTTGTGAGGCGCCACGTGACGCCCTAGAGCCGTCAGCTCCGGTGTTGAGAAGCCTACGCCAAAAGCATTGTCCATCTTTCGCAGGACAAGGTCTTTGTAGTATGCGTGATAGGAGTAGCCTGCCAGACCGAGGACAGCGATGGAGCCAAAGGCTGTCGCGCTGCCCTCGACGACCCTCCAGAAGGTAGGTTTCCAGCCATGGGGTGAGTCTTCGGGGTCGCCATCTCCTTGCCGTTGCTTGTCGTGAGAGGATCCGGATTTCGGGCCTTGTTGTTCCACGACGATGAAGCGGGTCCGCGTATGGGCTCTGCTAGTAGCCTGGTAGGCCTAATCATCGATGGAAAGGCATGAGATCAGCTGGGTGGCTAGTCGAATAGCGATGATGGATGTGCTTACCCTCCATTGTTTCGAGAGAAGGTAGCGTCTAGCCATCCGTGAGTTGATGTCTTGTTCCGGACTGGGGCACCGGGCTCACGCGTTGTCACGCGGAGATGTCACGGAGGAGCTTCGCACTAGCAACGATGGTTGTTTCCACGCTTTCTCATAAACGGCCCCGAGAACACACACGCAGTGCAACTCTTTTCGAGCAGTTGTCAGGGTTGAGACGGGATCTAGGCCGTTCCAATATGACTCTTTCGAATTTCTTGGCAAAGCGTGCGCGTCCTAAGATGCACTTCCAAGACTACTGGCCAAATGGCCGTTTGTGTCGTCAAAAGGGACGGGAGGTGCAGAAGCACGGTGATGGGCCCGCCATTTTCCAAGTGGGCGATGATGTACAACCTTAACTGACTGCCGCCTCTGTTATGTGGTGGAGAAATAGGGGCTACTCTTCAGTGGATTCATGCGACAAGCCAAGTAATTACAGGGACCTTCCGCGGACCGCAGCCCCCTGCACTGTCCGCTGTCAGTGAGGATCCATAAAACTCATCTTCAACATCCGGGCATGAGCGAAGAGCACCCAACGGGATATCCACTGCAAATGCGTTCCGTTTCATTTTTTTCATACTTGGTGTCAGTTGTGTACTTTGATCTGCTTGGATAGTTCTACTTGATGCTCTTCTATCTAAAGAACCGGTATGCACTACAGTTCGTGGATCATGTTCAACCCGCCTAAGGTAATACTAATGGTACCTTCAAGTTATCTGAGTGCCTGTGTCCAATGCTACAAATTCAAGGCGCTGTTCTCGAATGGAAGGTACGCAGCGGAGATCTCTAGGTGGCATTTGCACGTCAGAAATGACGGAATACATGACAGAATACATGACCGAATGTCAAATTTCATAGATAGCGGATTTCTACCAGTTCTATCCCCATTCCCAGTTTCGACATCATACCGTCGCTCTCCCCCTTGGTCAACATCGAGCCATCAACTAATTAGCAAATCCTCAATTCTTACAACTATTGATACCTAGGTAGACACAGAGTCTTCTACTACTCCACTATCTTAGAGGTACTGAGAGAAGGTGCATCTTACATTTGCCGCCCTCGTGGAGAATGGAATTAACGACTTCCCGACGTACGATAAGACGGGAACTATCCAACACTCAGAGGATCGGCTGTCGTCAGCAGCTACTCGCGAGTAAGATTACGACCAATCACATAGACTACCGATAACATTCATAATCTAGAGAGCTTCATGGTTCATTGATGTACAAGTTTGGTGAAGTGTCGGTTCGGATGCTAGATTGACTTAGGTAGTATCATTGCTTAAGATTCTGATACCGTGCCTTCTTAGAGTATTTTCTCATCGCCATGTCCTATTCCATCTGGAGTCAGCTATCACATACAATGCCATAAGGTTCTTTCTCTCTCAAACCATGGCATTATGATTGTCCAAAGGGGGCCGTATGCGGGTGGAATGCGACGTGAGATACATCGTACGTAGAGGAGAACGGGGAGGAAAGGAGGCTCTTTTACTTCTACCCGGTTGCAGACGGTCTCGTTGTACTCGTTCGCCCGAGCTGTATGCTTCTGAAAGTAAAGTTCTCCGGGAGGGCCGCCGATAGGGGCATCAGTCATATCATGAACAATACCATCGACATAACATGGGTCAAAAAGTATGTACAGACAGTACCATGAACCGCGTATGATCTTCCGCCCACAATAAAATGCTTGAACCTCGAGAGAACTGTAAATTTGGGCTTTTCTCCGGTAAAACGTTTACTAAAGTCGCTTTCTTGGAGAGGAAAACTCTTTCTACCGGTATCACGTCCACTACCTCAAGGATGTGTGTTGTTAAAAATGCGTATAATTTCAAGTACAGCAATCTCAACGCTTGCAAGTCATGCTAAACCACGGCTGGATCCTGTCGTAAGCTCTACCTCGGCTTCTGTCTCAACAGGTTTTCTGCGGGCAACTCAACGTCGATTTGAGTATTTGTCGTTGCGGGAGACGTCCATCATAACCGCTCGAGGTAGATGTAGAACCTGAACACGCTTCACATCTTGAAGGCGAATAATTACGTGTCGATGATATTTCGGGAGCCATGCGAAACACACTTGAGCTACAAAGGCGTGCTGCGCGCGGATACATAACAGGAATTCATGAGTAGGCAGATGCTCCAGTTGTTGAGAATTTAACAACGGAAAATGGCTTCCGCCTGAGGTATCGACTGACTCTTTACCTTTACCGTCACTTGCCGGGCGTGTAGAGTAGACGTACGCGTACAAGACAGAAACTAAGCCTGGTGGAATCTCTATGTACCCCTAGCTCCCGAGGTCGAGGTTGGTTAGGTGCTCTTGGCATGTCGGTGGCTATGACGCGAGACACGGCTGAACCGCAGAGGGCGGCGATAACGTGCCTAATGCAAACGTCCACGTTGGATATTTCTGGCTCCTCTCCAGAGACAAATTGAGTCGGTAGACACTAGCAACGCCACAAAGGGAATCGCCGACGGGGTTGCTAATCCATAATCCACAGCATCCCCCCCACATGGCATTACGCTTGATTTTATCTTTAACCCTGGCTTAATTACCCCTTAAAAGGTCCGAACCATTCGGAAAGGAAGCGTGATTTGATTGAGGTCTCTGTGATTCGCTGACGGCTTCCCCGCAAAGTACCAGCGTCGCACTAAGATCTGCCCTCCGCCGCCCAAGCTCCCACATGCCGGGGCTTGGCATCCGACTACAGCCTCAATCCCTCCGGTAGACGGTGCGCGACTGCAAGTTGATGTGAAAACCCATACGTTGGACCGAGGACTGATGACGAGTCACTCATACGCACGCAGTTTGCAAAAGATTGCGATGTTGTGATTTCCCCTTGCTATGTGATTCCGGAGGCGTGATTGACCAAACGTGACGGTATCTTGTTCCCTCCTCAGGAGTCAGGGATGACATACATAAAGACGTCGGTCCATGGCGAAAGTCCACAGGTTTTGTTTGTTTCTCACCAACATCAGTCATTCCATTCTCCTCTGCTTCGATTCTTCACTCGAGTTAGATTCCGAGAATTCACACTCTTTTTGACTTTACTTTCGCTATTTTTCCACTTTGACATCTCGATCCAACAAGATGGTTACCGTTTCCCGCCTCGCTTTGGCGGCTATCGCACTCACCGGTGTCACTGCGCACCCGGGCGAGAAGCATGATCCTCACGTCCACAAGCGCGAGATGGCCCTGCGCCGATCTGTTGCCGCCAGCACCCGCCGGGCCCTCGACGCCTGTGCCGGCTCAGCTGCCGACGTCGCCCTCAAGCAGCGTGCTATCCAACGTCGCGAGGCCAAGCTCAAGGAGCTCCGTGCGAAGAGAGCCATCTCCGCCTCTGGTAAGTTTCCAAGTGGCATTTTCGTTCTTCCAAGCTGACATGTGACTCTTTAGCTCCTATCCGCCGCCGTGCCGAGAGTGACTTGACCACCTGGGCAGCCATTGACCACGAGTCTTCCGGGGGATACACTCTTGATACTGACCCCGCCACTCTCTTCGCCCAGAACACCACTTGTGTCGTCGTGCCCGAGACCACGATTGGTCCCTACTGGGTCGCCGGCGAGCTGATCCGCAGCGAGATGACCGACGGGCAGTCCGGCGTGCCTCTGCACCTTGACGTCCAATTCGTCGACGTCTCCACCTGCGCGGGTGTGCCCGAGATCTTGATCGACGCTTGGCACTGCAATGCTACCGGAGTGTACTCTGGTGTCTCTGCCACCGGCCAGGGCGGTCTTAACTCGACCTTTGGCCGTGGTGTTCAGCAGACCGATGATGATGGAGTTGTCCAGTTTGATACCATGTTCCCGGGCCACTACACCGGCCGTGCTACCCACATCCACGTCAAGACGACCACCGGCGCCACTGTTCTCGACAACGATACCTATGTCGATGGTGTCACCAACCACGTCGGCCAGCTTTTCTTCGACCAGACCCTCATCTCGGAAGTCGAGGCAGTTGCGCCTTACAACACCAACACGCAAGAGCTGACCCTCAACTCTGGCGATAGCATCGCCTTTGGTGAAGCGACTGCCGACTACGACCCCTTTGTCCAGTACGTCCTGCTCGGTGACGACGTCTCCGAGGGTGTTTTGGCCTGGATCACCGTCGGCTACAACACCACCGCCGACTACTCCAGCTCTGCTAGCGCCGCTGCCCACTACTACGCCGAAGGCGGTGTCGATACTTCTTCCGGAAACGGCGGCGGTGGCCCCGGAGGTGACGGTGGCCCTCCCAACGGTACCTTCCCCAGCGGTGCCGGTCCCAGTGGTGTCCCTCCCAGAGGTGCCGCTTCTGTCCCTGCTAGCTCTGCTACTTCTGCTGCCGCTGCCAGCACCACGACTGCTGCTTCCAAGGGTGGCTGTGCGCGCAAGCGTCACTTGTAAGTTTGGTGAGGAGGATCAAAAGGCGGGCTATTAGCTGCTTTGCTGGCGGGGCCATCTCGGTGTCTGCCGTTGAAGAACGTTGACAAAGTAGTTTTTGAGTGTGGATGTGAATTTGGTGTTCTTTGTTTTCTGAAGGTTATATTTTGGCGAGAATGTTTGTATGTACATTATCGAGAAAAGGGTGGTGGAGATGAGCGCAAGTCTTGCCTAGCACTCTCCTGTTTGGATTATCGAATCAAAAGAATTCGCAATCTCTAGCATTAGAACAGCCCACAATCAGCGTTGAATTGTAGTCTTGACTACCGTACACTATACAAACATTTGACTTTTCGCTTCCGAGTTCCTCATTAATCATCATGAAGTACATGTATGGGTGAAGGGGAGTTATGAAAGACAGCAATACCCGTGCTGGTACTTTCCGTGCATGTATCCGGCTGGATCGCTCCAATGGCCATCAGGGCAGACATCACTCAACTATCGCGGTACTGGCGGACGAACTCATGCAGCTGCACAAGAGAGTCGTGTCCAACTTTCTGCATGTACGCAGATCTCTTGTCTCCTACGATGGCGACGTGGACAAGCTTCCTTGCGATCCAGCATAGCTCGCTGTTATACCGGATCATGCCTGCTTTTTCAAAGGCGGCGGGCTCTATGCGGCCCCTGATCGTATCCCACATGCCCTCCCATCTGGAAACGGCACGTAGCAGGGCTGGTGCACATGCAGGCAAGACTCCCATGAGATTGGCCGAAGTCACCATGCCGTTGAGTGCTAGTGTTGTTAGATAGATATCCTTCTTGCGCACATCGCAGCGGTAGAAGGGGTGAACATACTGAAAATCAGTAGTTGTAGGTCCGATCCATTGATATCCTGGAATGGAAAACTTCCCATGCCGACCCAAGTCTCTGCCATCAGCGCGTCGGTGCATTGTTTGACGGAACAAATCCTCCTGGAACCATCGGTTCCGAGAGAGTTTGCCGCATCATAGTACTCTGCCGCGTTTTTGGCATCCCAAAGCTCCAAGGGGCTTGGCAGGTCACAAGTCAACTCTGCAGGCGTCATCGATGGTGGTGTATTGAACATGCCGCACTGCTGCCAGTCTCCTAGTGCAGTCCAAATTGCTAGTCTGCAAATCTATCAGCGACGTGTTTGATTACCTGAAGAGTGAAGAAGACTCACCTGATCTTTGATTCATTACGCACAAATTCTTCGTATTGGAATATGGGGGCATGTTTGGTCTGTGCCAGACCGAGAACCCTTACGGCCGATACAAGCTGTGGAAGTCGCTGGGTTCTGTTCTTCCTACGTGATGCTACATCATTTCTGAAGAACTGGACGGAGTGGATCATGAGGGCTGCCTGTAGTGTCTCTTCAAGCTTGTGGGTAAACTCTGGCGCTGAGCCGGGGGGCATCAAACGCTCAAGGCATCGAAATATGTACTCCTCCGCAAGGTTGAGATATCCACGAGCCGCGAGGGCATCGTCACTTGGAGGTGATCTTAGAGCCCCAGATAGCCCAACAGCCAAGAGAAGCTGCTTTGTTGTATAGTCACTGCCAAAGTCTGGCCGATGGACGATAGGAAAGTCAAGATGACTGACTCGGAAGTAGGTCGCAGAAAATTGGCACAGATTTCCTGCCGAAAACACTGAGTTTGCCGTGTCAAGATCGAACGTGCCGTCATACCACTGGTTTGTAGCAACCAGAGTGTGATGAAGCTCTTGCAATCCCGAGATGATTTCGGCTGACCGCGGTTCCAGGCTCTCTGGCACCAGAAACGACACCCGAGTGTTGGCTAGTATGTTTTCTGACAAGACGTCCAAGGAATTGAAATCTATCAGCTCAGGGGCAATTGTTGATGCAAAACCATATGGGAGGAACGTGAAGTCATCATCGATCAGCATGCTTGGAGGGTATTGCGTGGGCATGCCCTTCATGGTCGGATCGATTCCATCGCCCTCGGTTCTCGCAGCTGCTTCGCTGGCAAGGAACTCGAGTATGTTTTCCGAGTTGGGATTTGTCAGACCGAGAAGAAAAGCGACTGTGATTTTGGTGCGGTCCTTGTCTTTATCGGGTGTGCCTGCCGCGGTGGTGGCCAATGACGAGGATGGTGTGGATGAAGATGCATCCGTGATCACGGAAGTGCTCTCTCCCAACCGGTGATATGTGCATGGCAGCTTGCGAGAGACGCATCGCACGCAGGGGTCAGAGGTATCGCATGACTGTTTGCTGTGAAAACAGGCGTCACAAGCGCGGGGTTTCTGGCCGCGCTTGAGATTCGGAACGGTTTCTTGGTCTTGTTTCTTTGGGCAGTGGATTGTGTGCTTACGGCACACATCTCTGTCACACTTTAGTGGGATTTTCGGCATGGATGTGCGCAAGATAATACGAACCGTCTTGCAAATGCCTTTTCGCAGTACAGGCACTTGTACCTAGCGGATTGAACGTCTGCGAAATTGTAAGTTCCGAGGTCAAATAGTTCCCGAAAAAGTCAATCAGACGCTAAACACTAGCTCAGGCGGGTTGATATACTACAAAAAGGTTGATTGGGAAGAGGCAAGGTGAATTCTGTCACATGGAAAAGCTGGAACGAACTGACAGTACATTGATAACGACTACCGACAAATCGGGAGAATCATCACTGTCAGACGGGGAACTAGGCGAAGATCGCCCGGAATAGACAAGGCTCTAGGACTAAAGGGGCAATATTTGACACAAAAGAAGAAATTCGGGAAGGATTCACGCAAGAAGGATGGAAATAAGAAGACTACCTACGTGTGGATTCGTGGCGGCGTAGATGAGCGCTTCTCTGATACTGCTTCCCGCAAATAGCACACGTATGACCTCCGGTTGAAGGAGCGGCCATGGCGGGTCCGGCTGTCTACCGGCGGCGTAGTTTTAAGAATCCCAGTAGAGATAAAAGGCTATTCGAATTGGGCTTAGGATTCTCAGTAATCAAATCGCGTTGGTTGGCAGTGGGCTTGAATGAACGACAGAGAATGTGAAGATGGTGGGTTTAAGCCGATGAACGCGTTCGGAATGACGCGGGATGGCAGGATGGGAGACCCATTATTACGCGATAAGGGGTCAAGCGCTGTCTGTGACCGGAGAAATCCCACCCCCGGGGTCTCGATGAGGTCTGGTGGATTCACTATCCCAATTGGGACAGAACTCTCGCACCTGCATGCCGTGGTGGGGCGGTCGACGAATCACAGCGCCCTTGGTCTTGGCATAGAATAAAGGGAAAGAGGCTACTCCCCAGACTTTTATATCCATCTTGACCCTTTCCTTCCTCCATTTCTCACCATCATCAACTTCAACTGCACCGGTCGGAAAACTCCGGAACAAGAATTTCCTTTTACAATCATAGTTTCGTAGTCATATGCATTAAACGGATAAACTTACTTTATCAGTAGCACTTTCTGCACCAGAAAGCTTTCTAATATGACACAAATCACAGCCACTTTGCGGCTATCGCAGCGCAATGCATCAATGGGGGCCCCGTATAAAATGATCATTCTTTCTGATGTTAAACGCATTGCCCTCGGCCTCCGGTGGTCTTTTATAATGTCCGTTGCTACGCTCTTTCCTACAAACGACAGAGCTGGCCCATTTGACACCCTCTTGCTTTTCTCGGCTTTTCACCAGCTCGATGCACGAGTTTGACTGACCCTGTCAAGTGGTATTATAAGATGTCCAGCCTATGTAAGTCAGTTCTATCTCCAGTTCTTCCTCGGACTCTCGGGGTCCTCGATCGTTAAGAAACATCACTCGACGAAGTCCTAGCATCGTGACTCACCATTTACTAGCTGTTCTGCGGTTTCATCCGTCGAGGCTGGCTACTCGAGCAGAAGTTTGCGCCCTTCATCTTTCGTCCACATCATCTATACCTAGATCTCAGCACCATCGCAACCAGAGCCATGCGAGATCAAATTCTACAAAGACTAGCATCGTACCACAGAACAGTCTACCGTTCGACAGCCAAATCATCAAACCTCCCTCCAACGCCGTCGAACATGTGTTGTACGTCCAGCATAGCATCACGTCTCGATACCCTCGCCGCTGGCTAACACCAAGATAGAACCACCTTGGACAGCATCGTCAACTGGGCACGCCAAGGTTCCTTCTGGCCCTTGACGTTCGGCCTAGCCTGCTGCGGTATAGAAATGATGCATGTATCCATGCCACGTTATGATCAGGACCGTCTCGGCATCATCTTCCGCGCTTCGCCTCGACAAGCCGATGTCATGATCGTGGCTGGCACGGTCACAAACAAGATGGCACCTGCTGTTCGACAATGCTACGACCAGATGCCAGACCCGAAATGGGTAATCAGCATGGGTAGCTGTGCCAATGGAGGTGGCTATTACCACTACAGCTACTCCGTCGTGAGGGGAGTGGATCGGATTATACCTGTAGACATCTACGTGCCCGGGTGCCCACCAACTGCAGAGGCCCTTCTACATGGCGTCTTCCTCTTACAGGCGAAGCAAAGAAGGACGAAGATCACGAGGATGTGGTACCGGAAGTAGACCAATGGGTAACGTCATGTACTTTACTATTCGGTGTATGTTATCTTTGTTTCTATCTCTCTGCCGCAGCCTCTCCACCTCTGATGCCAGCCATCGTATTAGTTTGCTGGACCTACCTTTCATCACCTCATAGTTGACGATAGAGAATGTGAGAAAATGACATCAAGTCTGCAGTGGTTGAGAGTCCCACCTTTCGCCTAGTACAACGATGAAGCATGATGATTGGTCTAGGCCTAGGACCTTGAGTTGCATGGAGCTGAGTACCAAACACGGTATCATGGGGTTCGCCAACCATGGACAAGGCACCACGATGAGGCTTAAAAATCATTTTTCTGCAATGTGGAGTGAAGGTAGCTTGATCATCGGACTTGAGATTATTCGACCTGCTGTAGCCTGTCAGCTTACTTGCGCTCCAGATGCCAAGGCGCTTCGCACGTATTCCCCCACGCTACGCCCAAAGCCAGTTGCCCGACGTTGCACACATGGATTCTTGTCAGCACAACAGGTTCCCGGCTGCCTGATTCAGTTAAGGCTAGCATTCATAGAAACCGTAAGCCATGCTGATTCGACTGCGCCGCTGCAGTGCTTCTGGCAACGGCTTCCTCCTTTTACAGCGAGAGGGGTTCATGAGGCAAAGATGCCATGCCCAGAGAAGTGACATTACTACTAGAATCAGAACTTAAATACACGGACATCGCGTTGGGGAAGTCTCGCCTTCCACGACTTCTTGACCTCTGTATTTTATCTCCGAGGAAACTGTCGCCTTGCTAGGGCTTCACGACCACCAGACTTCATCCCCGGTCACTAACATGAGGGTCCAGTTACCAAGAGCTCCCGTGCTTTGGTTCTGCGTGTCGCTTGCGCGTACGATTCTTGGAGAACCGCTTCCTGATCCTACGGGCGAGTACAACGTTGGTGCCCGGCGTTTTGTGGTGCCCTTCTTAGACGAGAATGACGTCGTGTGGCCAAAGGGTGTTTCTACGGAATACCTCGTAACGCTGTACTATCCTACCGCGGATGAGAAGCCTTGCCCGAAGCCGTACCTCGATCCCGAGCTTGTCAAACTGTACACCGATCTGTGGAATTACAACATCTCTCACTTGACGTCGACGCTGCGGTTGAACGCGACTTATCTGGCCGAGGAAACGGGCCCCACGCTCCTCCTCGGACCTGGTGGCTGGGGTGTGCCGAGCGGTGGTAACTACATTATCATCTCTGACCTGGTATCGCATGGTAAGCTCGCGATCCCTCAACTTGTTGTTGTTCAGGCTGACTTAGTATCAAACGAAGGATACGTCGTTGCTGCCTTTGATCACGTTTACGAGCAGCCCTTTGTGCGGTATCCCAACGGCACGGGTGTCTACGGACTGCCACCGAATTTCGGCAATTACACCCTTGACTGGTTAGAGGACTTGCATGCCGTCAGGGTTAGACAGCAGCTCCACTTCATGGATTACATCCCTTCACTTGTGGCAGAGCTCAAGGCACCCTTCAAGACCAACGACTTTGGCACGTTCGGGGTGTCTTTAGGAGGCTCTGCTGCTCTGACCGTAGCGCTGGAGAGCGATGCGGTGGCAGCCGCTATCAACGTCGACGGTGGTCACTGGGGTCGACTGAATAGCACATCCGACTCGGACCTGAAGAAGCCTTCGATGATTCTCGGCTTTCAGGGCCACAATGCGAACTCGGACCGCACCTGGAATAACTACCGGGCCTGGCAGACTGGCTGGTGGCGTCTGTTCTCGGTGGACGGAAGTTTGCATCCTGACTGGTCCGACCTGGGATTCTGGAAGATGTTCGGCACGACACGTACACAGGGGCCCATTGATGGAAACAGGATGGTCCATATCTCGAGGACTTTCATCCGAGCCTTCTTTGACGATGTTCTGCGTTATGTCAACCAGCCTCTTCTGGATAGCCCTTCTGAAGACTTCCCCGAAGTGCATTGGGATGAGATCCACAACGGACAATGAATACAGCAACTTTTGACATCATAAAGAGTGATAATTAGGTTATCCATCGAAGTGTGCATCGAATGGCGGTTCGACAGTCAACGAGTGCCATACTTCCTCTCCTGCCGCTTCCCGCCATCATCGCGCTAGGGAAAAGTGTTGTTCTAAGACACGGGCGTCGTACTCGAAAGCGACAGCTCCCCGGAGTTACCATCGCAGTGTCTTCAACTTTGAAAAACTACAGAGTTATGGTAAGATTCAAGCGGTGATGATAGAGGGGTATGCGGATTGATCATTACTTACAAGGTGCATGTCTGCGGTCCGCCTTCCATCCCCCCCAGTAGATCACTTGCATGTAACTAGTGACTTGACTGAATTTGAGAGACCGAAATTAGTAAGAAAGACCCCAGTAGGTGGGTTGATCACGGTAAGAAACCTACGAAATAATTGAGCCGATGGTAGAAACTCCAAAGAAAAGGTTGCAGCCACTGCTCCCTTTTTCGCTACCTGAACTACACTTCCTGATGTTCGTAACCATACCAGTAATCATAATGATGGTCCACAATGTGCTCTCTAAAGAATTGATGATGCAGTATGTCTTGGGGTTGCCCAAGTATCGGAGTCTAGCGACGTTCTGTACCGTGAGTTGGTATGCGACGAGCACCAGTGATACGGTTGACTGTCTATCAGTATGATTGATAATGAACCCTGATGGCTAGATTGACAACTTACCATGATTAGTGCCATTAGGTCAAAGGGCGTCGACTCTATGCTTATTCTAACCGAGACAAGTACCAACGTGGCAACAACGACTGCTGTCTGTAATGACTGCAAGTACTTCTTGAGTCTGGGGTTGAAGAATCGCATTATTATGGAGAGAGCTGTGTCTCGCAGATAGAAATTACAAGTGCAAAGAGTTGCCAATTTCGGGAACTTCTAATTCTAATTCGCGGGTTTCTGAGATTCTGCTGTAATCGTCACATCTCGTCGAGAATTTTTATCCATCTTATATAAGGGAGAAGATGCAGAAATAGCCACTCCCGTTTGAGACAGCCACCGAAATATCCGTCCTACCTTACCTCATGATCTTCATGGGACCAATCTCAGAAGTTGAGGTTAATGCCACTCAGCTTCTTGTGTTGCGTCGTGACCGGAAGTTTTACGGATAAATTGAGCTACATGTCAGAAGTCTCGGCCCAACCTATATCCATGTCGCCGCTGGCCTCGGTCAACGATAGCTTGCTTCGTCATGGCGAAGAATTCGCTTATGGATACCTAAATTTGAGGTATGATGCAGCTGTCAACACTGAATTACTGTGCACTTTGTTGTCTTATTGGACGACATTGAGTCAAGAACAGGAACCTTTCTCTCCTAGCCAGACAGGGTCGTAAGACTTTGGGGGCAGTGACACCTTCTCTAAACATACCATTTTCACTACATGACGTTTCCCCGTGTTGGTCACAAGTCTCAGATTTAGCTCAAGCAGTGAGTGGTTGAGCGATCTCATTCACGCATCCTCGTATTTTCGGACCCTTGCACTTTCGTGTTCTCAAGCGATAAGCAGGGACGAGGGAAGCTATGTTGCGGGCAATTTTGTGCCACCGCACACCAGCCTGACCATTAATCTGTGGGCAGCTAACAAATCACCGCTGAGCTTCCACCGTGCTGAGGAGTTTCATCCCGAGCGATGGTTGAGGTCAACTCCAGCAGAGTTCACCCAAGATGGCAAAGCCGTCTCGAAGCCATTCAGCTTTGGCCCGAGGGGTTGCCTTGGGAAAAAGTAGGAAAATCCCTTTGTATATCTCGGATACCTATGTAATGATTCCAGAATCTAGCCTTGCTTGGGTAGAGATGCGAGTGATTCTTGCTCACATACTTTGGAACTTTGACTTCAAGCCGCAACCCGACAGCGAGAATAGGATCACAACTCAGAGAGTTTTTACTCTCTGGGAAAAGCCGAATCTCAACCTCAAGTTGTCACTCCGCGAGTAAATACCAAGGTGTTCTTATAAACTTCGCAGCTTGACCAAGCTTAAGTAACTTATGCGGAGAGGTCGTCGTGTCCTTGACGGCTTTTAGCATATATAAATGGATAAGTAAATTGGGTCGGCAGGGTGCGACTGTAGGCACGATTCTTCCTTGGGATGTTCTTAGCCAATAATACTCTTTCTTTGACACCTTACTTGATATATAATGGGAATTGATATACCGGCGTCGCAAATTGATACACCGGCGTCGACCTTACACCGGCGTCGCTGTTCGACCTTTTGATTGGCTCAAAAAAACAATACCTCCCCATAAAGGCGGTGAGGGTGACTGCACTAACATGGCTATTCCTGCCCTCTTCTCTAACCTAAGCTCTAATTTGAGATTTCTAAAAGTACGTATTACAGCCTACTTATACCCCAGGTTTGTAAATCTCAAATAGGGACTATATAACCCCTCAAAAGGCCTATTACCTAACTACCTTTTGCGACGTGGTTGCAAAGATTCATCGTCACTACAGACCATTTCCCACTAACTCCGTTTCCTCCGAACACTAGGCTACATCGGCCGTCCACTTGCATAATTCCCTGTTGTCCTCCCCTTCCAAGAACACTAGACTGGCTCCTTGTTTGTCGCTAGGATGAGCTTGATATCTGGCTTTGACTTGGCTAACTTGTCTCTTGTGTAAGCCCAGCTAGCGTCGACTTATTCTTGCTCCCAGGTGGGCGGCCTCGCTTCTTACTACTTACGCCTTGGCTGCTATAGGTAGTGCGGGCTTGTCTAGCTGACTGGCCCTCTGCAGGTAAGGCTAGTTATGATAGGACAGGCTGCACTATGTTCTTTAGCCTACCGCGGAGGGATGCAGCAATCTTAGGGTCAAGGATCCGGCGGTATGGATCTGAGGAAGACGTCTCTCGAAGACGCCACCGAGGGTATACCCCCCATTTACTGAAAGTAGCTAAATCTAACTTTTAGGAGTAGATCTTATGGCAGCATGGGATACCCAGCTCAATTAAAACAGTGCAGTCTAGACCACAGTCTCCAAGGGGGGCTAGGAATGGCCTCGTACCAGACGGCATTGCCTTCTTTACCAGCCGGTATTGCTTCCCAATTAATGCAAGACACTTCGAGGAAAGCATCGTTCGAAGTTCGCCTAGGTACTCAAAGCGAGTACCTATATACTCCCGGCCTGTAAGCACTTCATCCTCAGCACAAGCTTGCCTGAAGCGTATCTCCTGGTCACCAATCATGTCCTACATAACATCAACAAGTCGATATAGGTGACTAAGATCATTTAAGAGATAACTCTTAATGTTGTTATTACTTGACTCAGTGCCAGAGGTGACGCGAACACCAAAGTTCTAATATTTTCGGATAGAGCAGCGGGCCCACTGTGCTCTTAAAGGTAGGTATGTTATGTGGAGGTACTGGAGGATTGGGCGTTGGTCGTTAAACTCTTTACAGAGCTTGGTCCAGGCTTTCTCAAAAGCGTGCTCAGTCTCAGCAAAAACAACAAGCTTCCACATCATAAGGACCCCACGATACGTATGAGGGGGGGGCTTATCAATAGATGTGTTGATATAGGCCTCATCCTCATCACTTAGCGTGGCCATTGCTTGTATTGGTAGCTGATATCCCTCGTCATTAGACCCACTGCTGTTACTGCTACAGCTGCGGTCCTTAACCCACTTCTGCTTAGCCCTGAGCATAACGTTAGAATTGATGTGGTGGATGCAGAGTTGTTGCTGAACGTCTGGGAACTGCTCATTCAGTGCAGCCTTCATCTGCTTGTCGTAGTCTGTAATAATAACAGTGGGGTAACGGACTGAGTGTTGGTCCATGAGTTGGCGGATCCCTGCTGAGAGAAACTGGAAACCCTCTAGTCTCTCGTTGTCGATAAGGCCAAACGCAGCGTTATAAACAGATCCAAGGCAGGTTTGCCCAGTAGCTTGGAAGAGAGGGAGCTTAAAGCTATTGGTATTGTAGGTGTTGTCAAAGCTAATCACAGGGAATCACTTCCACATTTGGAGACAGTAGGGAAAGGTCCAGACAAGGCCAATAAGGCGGTTTGGCTCGGCGTCTGCCCATTTCACCACGTATAGGATATCTCGCTCATCAAACAGCTTGATTAATACTGCAGTTAGCGAATATCCCGCTAGTTTCTCTCGGTTTATACGAGCCCTAGCGTTATAGATATCTCGCTGGGTAAATAAGGACTCTGGGAACTGCTCCTGGACAACAGCACGCACATCGCGAGCCCGAATCCCAACTCGTCGGCTTGTAGTTTCAATGGCATCCTGAAGTGGCTGGGTAAGCCTGCGATGTGAAGGGTGTGCAGTAGCTTCAAGGCTAGGGCCATGATTATACTAACTATACTAGGGGTCTAGGTGATAACGTAAAAGCCACTTACCCTCCTCTTAAGCCTCGGCAATAACTTACCATTTACAACCGCATTTACGAGACTTGCGCTGTCGAATACCAGCACCTTGTGTAGGCCCAGGCTCGCCAAACCGATCACACTGGAAGGTGTATCGAATGATTCGGCCTCGAGCTTTATGCCTATTCCGCTTTATAATGCCAAATCCATTAACTAGATCTTGCAAAGGTATTAACTCGGTCGAAGAGGGCATCATAGGTTTGCTCTGGATCGCCAGGAATCGGTGGGTTTGGGATTTCGGTTATAGGAGGAGAGGAGGATCGGTTGCTTAGAGTGTGGTAGGAGGCTGCAGTTCGGAAAGACGCTTCGCTTTGAGGGGAGGATTGCCGTGGGGGTGAATAGGGTGGTGGGTTGACTTGGGGACCCCATGTTTCTTGCCATTGACGGACATATTCTTGTTGTCGGAGGAGTGCCGTTGTTAGCTGTTGATTAGTCCCAACAACCTGTAGAACAAGCTGAAGAGCACTATTGAACTACTCTGTTGTAGGATAGGAAGGTTGCTGGGACTGTTCGTTAGGAGGAGAGGGGCTTTGCTCTGGAGAAAGTCGTGGGAGAGTAGTCCGCTGGGTTTTTATTGTTCCTTTAGGGAAATGATGA